TTGAAAAACCTGCGTATTGGAGGAAAGTATGCATTCAAATGCTTATATCAGTGAAAACACCATAAAATAATGCATTTTATTAGGGGCAATGACTTGCAAAAATGTGTACGTATCAGACACATTTCCAAACCGGAATGTGTGCATTAGGAGAAAATTTGCACTAAAAGGCCTGCAAATTTCCCCCTTTAAAAAAACAAGAACATAAAAGAACATAAACTGTTAAGTTGTGGGTGAACATACAGTATCAGATGACACAGCGATTCTTCAAACAGCTCTTGTTTATTCACAGGCCAGAACTGAACTGAACTGAAGGGTTTAGCTAGCCTGCTTATATAGAGCTCCACGACAACTCAACAGTAACCACTTTCTGTAACTATCCAATCACTGAACGTCACTTTCAATCCCTTATTTGAATATGTGGACCTGAGTGAAAACTATCTACAGTATCCCCCTGCTGGCCCAGGGTGAGAACTTCAGTACATAACATAAACTAATGTGAAAATGTTCAGAGTGGGTTAAGACTGGAAAAATGAGGTGACAAGAGAAACTGAAACTGACAGATTTATCAACGGCTAGTAGCTATAATGGCTATGTTCTCCCTCCACTGTCAGAGGCATTGTGCCTCAAATACCAGTTGCTGTGAATCTCTGGTGGACAGTGTGCTTGTCAGGTGTGCATGCAGGAGCCAGGCCCTGCGACCAATAGGACTTTGCAGGACTGGGGCCTTCCTAAGTTTGTTCTGAAGAGGCAAGGCGCGGCCTCACAGGCGAGGCCAATTGGTAACTCACAGCACCTGGTGGCAAGGGCTGGGAAGGGATATAAGGTCAGCATTTCCCTTCGGCTCTTTGCCACAGCAACACGCTTCCTGCCTTTGGTTTCTTGCTTCCTGATCCTTGAACCTTGGCTTCTTGACTCCCCGCTTCTTGATCCTCAAACCCTTGACTTTGTGACTCCTTGCTTCCTGACCCTCTGACCCTTGGCTTCTTGACTCCCAGCTCTCTGACCCTCAGACTCTTGGCTTCCTGACTCCTGGCTTCTGGACCCCCGCTCCTGCTCCCACCCCACCATCTTGCCCCCGGTCCTGATGTCCCCTGCCGGGACTTCGATCGCCCATGAACTGGACCGTGACAGTGCTGTGGTGCTCATGTCCAGCTTGCAGGTTTCCCACAGGCATCTGGTTGGCCACTGTGAAAACATGATGTTGAACTAGATGGGCCACCAGCCTGATCCAGTAGGCTCCTCTTAGGTTCTTATATGTGTTGGACTGGGTTACATAACAGACTCAAGTGAGTTAAGCGAAAGTTTAGAGGAACATGGCACTTCTGAGGTAAATAGCAGGGAATGCCTGGTGCTGCCTGGGATTTTTTTAGAAACCAAAAAGAAGAAAAAAAGATTGTTAATTATACTGAGAGTGTAATTTGTGAGTTTGGACCCATTATGCCCAAAATTGGGTGAAGTCATGTTTCAGCCCACCATTTTGATTCAGTAGGTTGCCTGGTGTTGAAGACTGCCACTCCCTCCCTCGGGAACCCTCATGCTGAGTTTGGTGATGATCTCTCAAGCCAAATCTATGTAAAAAAATGTGCAAAGCCATGCCAAAGTGACATTTCGGTCTGCCATATTGATTAAAAATGGCGCCTGGCGTTGACACATCAACATAGACCCACTTCCCCACCTCAGGAATCTTTGTGCCTAGTTTGGTGACAATATCTCAAGAGGCATCTGAACAAACAGAAAAACAGCCAGACAAACCACTTTCCAATATATATAGTAGATACAATTATGCAGCCGTATTTTGATGCTGCACTTCAATAAATGTGTCAGTCTGACTATTTGCATTCATGCCTGTATTGTAGCTAACTATGAAACCCAGAAAGATTGATGCTTATTGAGTTGCATTCTTAGTCAAAACATATCTTGTTCATCAGCTGGCAGCAGAGATAGCCAGTGATAATATCTGGCTTTTTGCTCTAATCAACCATAGTGTAGCACGATCTCTTTAACATCTGTTATGTATTGTTTTCTGGCTTGGAAATTAGTGTTCGGAGGTGTCACGCTTATTTGTTTTGAGCTGAAGGGATGGATATTGCAACCCTTAGTGATGCTTAATTAATGCAGTACCACATTCCTTGGGAAATCTATACACCAAAGAGTGGCTTCTGGATGTAAAGGCAGCATCACTAACATTTGGGAGGTACATGCTATTTGTTGTATCAGATTCTCCCATTCGTGCCCTGGAAAATGGGCACATTATGCTTAAATATGGACTTTATTGCCTTCTGCTGTTTATCTAGGAACACAGTAGAAGCTGAGCTAATGGCTAATTAAACTTTATTCTTGATTAGGCCTGGGAGGCTGCACAGAGTAGAAACTATCTCCTCCAACTTGGCCACATCTTTGAGTCAGTTCTCCAAGAGCTGGCCTACTGCATCATAGCTGTTTCTCTGAAAGGGGCAACATGGCAGATATTTAGCTGATAATGCATACATTACAGTAATGATTATGACCTCTACATTTATTTGTGAAGCCCAAGTCAGCTTGGGGTAATCTTGTAAGGTACTAAACCTGTCTGAAGAGAGATAAGTGATGCATCGAAGCAAAGATCAGAACATATACAGATTTGTAGAAAAAGAGTGGCTTTGCCAATTCAAGGTTGTGGGCACGTTTAAAATACAGCTAGGTCATTCTTTTTCTCAATTCTGATTGAAGCAGATTTCAGGAAAAAACATATCAAAATGCAATATCCCATAAGAAATGACAATATAGCTACAGGATGGATATGGCTTGTGCCTGACATTGTATGTGCACTGCTTTCCAAACCAGTGGTGGAAGAGCACTGAATGCAGAGCAAACAGGGGTGTGTACACAGCCTTACTCTGAAACCAGAACTTAATTCATTCCGGAGCTCCGTTCTTAACCTGAAACTGTTCTTAACCTGAAGCACCACTTTAGCTAATGGGGTCTCCTGCTGCTGCCGTGCCACCGGAGCACGATTTCTGTTCTCATCCTGAAGCAAAGTTTTTAACCCGAGGTACTGTTTCTGGAATAGAAATAGTGGAAAGGGAAGTTTGGGAGATACTGAAGGGGAAATGGACCCATGAGGCAATACACATAAATAAGGTATCTGTGTGCTGTATTTGTGTACAGATTTTTACATTAGGAACATAGGATGCTGCCGTATACTGAGCCAGACCATTTGTCCATCTGGTTCATTGTTGTTCACACTGATGGGCAGCAGATGCCAGGGACTTAAACCTGAGACCTTCTTCATAGAAAGCAGATACTATACCACTGAACTATGTGGTCCTTCCTTCCAGATTATTTTCTATTGCTTACTGTGTAGCACTTCCTCCCTTGCCTCATCCACAGCTTCTCTTCAAGCCATGTGTATCTTATTAACATGCTCCTCTTATTAACTGTAGGTCTTTCTGTTCACTGAAATAGCTATAAGCTCACACACATCCCTGGTGTGAAATTTCTGCTAGAATGATATTGAAAATGGCCAAATACTTGTTACAGTTTCTTCCTGCATATAGAAACTACATAGCCACATGGGCACATTGGGCATGTTATATTACATTTTCTAATGCACATCAAAATAGTTAAAAAGCACCACCATGTGGCTAAAGTTGAAAATGATGCCTTGTTCTTAATCCTTATAATATGTGGCAGTGTCATGAAGCCACCTTAGAAATACATATAGTGTAATACAATATAAAACTGTATAAAATCCAGTCAGTTTGAATGGGTAAAAGTTTAATGGTAAGGATTTGCTGAATTAACGAATTGAATTGGAATACAAAGAAGGGAAGTATGAGGAGGTCTGAGGAAATAAGGGTATGGAATTTATGTTAATGAAAATTAATGTGTGTTTTTATAAGTGTTTGTTATTTTGTATGTTTGTCCTTTTGTTTTTATTTGTATCTTAAAATTTTCAATAAATATCTTATAAAAATAAAAAAATAAAATCCAGTCAGTTTGCATAGATGGATGGTATAAAATAGATTCAATGTTCTATATGGTTGGGGCTTTAGTATTCCTGTAAAGCTTTGTCACAGTTTTGATAATGCCTCTTCCTTGTCTTGGAGGGAGGATTGAAATGGCTGTGTGAGGTGGGTGTCGAAACTAACCTACTATATAATGGCTTTTTTTTCATTTATTCATTTGTTCACTTTTATTTATTTTATTTTATTTACTTCATAAAATTTATAAAACGCTTGATTGTAAAAACACACACACACAATCTGGTTCCACCCACCTCTGACCTGTGGCCCCTGTACAGTTATACAGAAGGGGATGTGGCCCTCAGGTTGTTGTTGTTTTAAAAAAGCTTCCAATGCCCAGCCATAAATGTGATTTTCAGCTTTTAAAAAATGATCCTGTGCACAATCCTGACTGCCTCATAAAGGGATCTACTGGACTGCATAGTCTGAAGTGGACTATTGATCCGATCCAGATCATGATATGCCTAGATCAAGACAGGCGAGTCCACTTTTGACTCTGAACAGGGCGACTCTTCCTCCATTCTAGAGCAGACCAGTTAAAATGAACAGACTTCGATTTCTTTGGGAGTATTTGAGTATGACTTAGTTGGATATCTCTCACAGTTGCACTTTCTTCTAGATAATATTAATTAATATACTATTTGTAATAGTGCTCCATATTCTGATATGATTCCGTATAGAATGGTAATTAAACATGACCTTGGGCTTGATCAGATTCACATTTAATTCATCTTAGTCTTTTCCATGCCACGTCCATAATTAACTGTGTTTTTGGCACAGTACTCTTTCTGCAGTTGTGGCTGTGCTCACTGTACACCAGAAGGAAGAAAGAGTTTAAACCTACGTGCATGCTTCCCCTGCCCATAGATTTAGCATCATACTAAAGAGGGCAAACCTTCTTGCAGTAACCAAACCTTCAGAAGGAGTGTACAATTGCAGAGGTTTCTTTGTTGTAGGTGATCTGTTATGAGACACACACCTTCCCCACACCTTCTGCATATTTTCCAGTTCTTTGTTTAACCATTTGATGAAAATTCAAAATAGAGGTGAGACTTTGTTTTACAAGAAATACTTGTATACTTTTCATTGCTCACATACACATTCATTCAGGGACTGACCTTCCTCTTTGTGTGGATTTGCAAAGATTTGGAATGTTTTTAAACAGCATTGTACATACATTCTGTAATACAGAAGAAAATAAATAAATATATTCATCCAGAGACTATTTCACCATGAAAACTGTAGAGATCATACCTTACTTTAGGATGCGTTCAGAATAAGAACATACCATACATGCAGTTGACTTCTGATTTTTTTTTAACTTTGCCATTTCCCTCTACTAAAAAATATTTCAAATTCAAATATTAAGCACACAAACATGCAACCAGAGTTTACATAACAAACACACAAATGTTGCATGAGAAACTTTTATTTCTGGAGATGCCCCTCCTTTTCTAAAATGAGAAAACCCAACCCATAACATCCGAACTTATAAACATTCATATCTGTACTTCGAAGCTAAACATTTGTTGTTTAGGAGTCACTCACAAATCATGATTATTGTGCTATTATACTTGTGCAAATATTATCGTTATACATACAGGCAATTCATTCATTCATGTAGAGTCAAATCACTTTGAGTGCTATGGCTGGTGGGACTGCCAAAGTATTTTTTCCACGGATGCCCACCTCCTTTCCACCCCTCCCTTTCTTTCTTTTTCTTTTAAATTGACAAATGCATAAAGCTGAATGTGCACAAGTTAAATGTACAGTATGTAAGTTGCAAGCTACCTCTATCTTAATGGTAAATTACTTTTACATTTTAAAAAAGTGTGGGGTCAGATGGATCCCACATACGATTTCTGTAGGTTTTGTACTTTACATTGAGGATTATTGCCAACCGCGATCATTTTTATGTAACTGTATTGTCTTACTGGAAAAAGGAAGATCTCAATAAATACTATCTTCAAGCTTGCAAATGTCGTCATGATGCTTAATAACTTTTGCCAGGTATTTTACACATCTGCCTTCTTGAGATACACGCAGGGTGGTAACTTGCAAAGACAGCACATATGGTCACATATATCCTGAGAAATCTGGGAATGAGCAGATGGGACTTCTATAAAGCAAATGCTTCGAAATTATTTTTTTAATGAAAGGGTTTTTCAATATAAAAAGAAAGGGCAGAAGGGGATATGGACCCCTTATGATCACCCCCAGTTTTGCTCTTGTGTAATTTCTTTTTGGGCAGGTTTATAGGATGCCTCATTTTTACCTACTCCATTTGTTCTCCTGAATACTCTTTTTTAAAATAATAATAATAATAAATCTACTCTGGTAACAAGTGCCATTTGCATCATATCAAAAAACAAAGGAAAAAATGTATGTTTCTTGAGTTGTGGTGCCATCAAGTGGTCAGCTCTATCCAGCAACTTTTTATTTAACGGTGTTTCTAGAACTCAACTATGTTAACTATGAGCCACACCAGATGAGGTACCTCACATTTCTTTAAATTCATATTAAAAACAGCAATTGGGAAAGGAGGGCAAATGAGATGGGAGGTGGGTTTACTCTTTCTCCAACATTGTCATCCTAATCTAAATTGCCATCCATAACTGTTATTTTCCTGTGTGTGTGGGGGGGGGGGACACATGTATTTCCACTGGATCATGTTATCTCCGACAACTAGTCTAATCGGAACAAGTTTCTATAGAAAAATACCCCAAATAGAAAAATAGTCTTTAAAATTATGAAAGCGTTTTTAGTGTGAAAAGCATTCAATATAGATTTTCTAAAAAACTTATTTACACTCATATATATTGTGCAAAAACACACGGGGTTAAGAGCAAGGAGAAATGTTGCTATGCATTCAGTAGACGTGTGGCCCTGAATGCCTTAAGTCTAGCTATACTTGAAGCGATAATGATGCTCCTGTGCTGGGGTTATTGCACTTTAGAGACTACAGCTGGGAGCTCATATGACTGAATGCTCCTCCATAGAAAAAAAGAGCAGGGAGCTTCCTCTTGTTGGTTCAGCTTCAAGTGGAGATGTGCTTCCTTCATCAAAAGGTGAACTTCACTGTTACCTGAGACTTCCAGTGAAAGAGTACTTTATCTCTCTCTCTCTCTCTCTCTCTCTCTCTCTCTCTCTTTTTTTTTTTACTAAGGAGGAAAACATTCAAGCAAAACAACTTCACACTTGAGTCCAAAGATATGATCCTGAGTATGGTAGTTATTCACATTCTCTCTCTCTGAAAGATCAGCATCCTTTTCGTTGACTTGCCCCAGGAACTGTTCCATCTCAAATGGAGCCTGTTGTCTCACACAGCTCGGCTCAATGCAAAGGTTACCAGGCGCCAGCTCTTGTGCTGCCAGAACCCCAGAGGCTGGTGCCCCGAGAATCAGCTGAGTCCCCGCTGCTCCTTGTGGCTGGTGGCTTCTTCAGCTTGCTGTTGGTCTCCAGGTGTGGGGTGACTTCCTCCAAGGAAGAAATCTCCAAGTCACTGTCCTCCTCCTCAATGAACTGCAGCAAGGGAGAAGAGAAAAAAGATAGGAGAGTAAGCAGCAGATGGCAAAGACCAGCCACACTCTCTTATCTCTGCAATGGCTCACATCCTCCTCCTTAAAAATCACCCTAAATCAGTGAAGAAGAAGATACTTCTCGGGGAAGGCACACCCCACCAAGGTTGTATAATATAATAACAATAACAATAACAAATTTTATTTATACCCTGCCCTCCCCGGCCAAAGCAGCGCTCAGGATTGCTAACACCAATAAAACCACAGTAAAAAACATTAAGGGGGGGGGTGCCAATTTAAAATACTGGTTAAAATGCAATTTAAAATGCAGCCTCATTTTAAAAGTAGCCTATAAATCAAGACCATAAGGGGAGCAAATCATAAGCGTCAGACTGAGTCCAAACCAAAGGCCAGGCAGAACAGCTCTGCCTTGCAGGCCCTGCAGAAAGATGTCAAGTCCTGCAGGGCCCTAGTCTCTAGTGACAGAGCGTTCCACAAGTTGGGGCCAGTTCTGAAAAGTCCCTGGCCCTAGTTGAGACCACTCTAACCGCCTTGCGACCTGGGACCTCCAAAATGTTGTCATTTGTGGACCTTAAGGTCCTCTGCGGGGCATACCAGGAGAGGCGGTCCCGTAGGTACGTGGGTCCTAGGCCATGTAGCGGTTACAGTGCTGGGAGACCAGGATTCAAGTCTCTGCTTGGCCATGACACTCCCTGAGTGGCCTAGGGCCAATCACAGTCTCTCAGCCTAACCTATTTCATGTACATCACCTTGAACTCATTGGAGGAAAGGTAGGATATAAATACAACGAATAAGTAAATAATTCTTAATTCAGAACTGTAGATTCAAGTTTCCCATTCTATGCCCAGTACAAGTTTTGCCACCTACTACCCATGAGTCAGTATACAACTGGTGAGTTTTCAAGTGTTTGGGTGCTTTGCATTATCACAGTGCTGCTCAAGAGCACCTCTTTCCATGTGTCTTGTGCAGGATAACCACCTGATGGATTGCACCCTGTTAGTTGAATCCCTGACAGCTGCAATCCTAAACAAGCTCATGAGCAAGCCTCACAGAACACTGAAGCATTTATGTTTGAATAAATATGCATAGTATGATGTTATTGGGGAAGAACTGATGAATGAAAAGCAAAGGCTGTGTTGGCCCAAAAGGGGGGGGGGGTTGAAATCCAAAATCCACAGTAGGACAATATTTTTATTAGGTCATCAAGCATAAAATGAAGTAAGGGTGAGCAAGCTTTCAAGCTCTCCAGAATTCTTCATCATGCTGAATGAATAGTCCGGAGCAAAAACTGGAATGATGTTTCTTATGGGTTAGAATTCAGCAGGGAGATACCATCTGTCTGATTTCCTAAACTAATGTGTATTGTATAGTACCTGGATTTTTTTAGTAGTTGGGCCAGGTTTAGGAGCTTCTTTGGTAGGGATGGGAAAGAGTTTAACTCCACCAGCAGGCTTTTTCCCAGATGCACTCAGTGTCCTCTCCAAATTTTTAGCCATTGACTGCACCACTGTTTCTACAAGAAGCAAAGAATTGTTGTTATTCATTAAACTTGCTAATCATTCATTACTCAAGTTGTGCATTACTCAGAGGTCTCCAAGTGACTTGCAACACATCTAAAACATAAAGGGTGGTATTATACTAACAAGTCCCATCAGTGCAAGAATTTTCACTTGTGTAATGGAAGTATCCCCCTCTCCTCCCTTGCATGTGTCCTGCACCTTCCCCAAATCTATTCCAGGGGAAACCCTGATAACAGATTTAGTGGGTGCAAAGAAAGAGAAGGAGAGGATGTTCTGATGAGCAAGCAAAACTCCCTGGGATGGTGCAATAATTACCTTAGTGCTGTGCTGGATTCCACCCAAATACATTACACCATTAACAAATTCAAACAAAACACCTACAATTCATATACATATTAAGAGTTAGGATTCGAGTCTAGACATCAGATTTAAACAGCAAAGTTGTTCATAATAATAAATGGCTTCTTAGAAGGTTATGACTGACCTAAGAAATTGTATAATTCTAATGAAAGCTGTCAGAATGACAAAACTAAGAAATGAGCTGACGTGTGTCTGACTGGAGAGCTGGTCCAGGAAAACCTATGGCAATAAGTATCTAGCACACGAACTCTTGCTCTTAACAAGAGCATTCGTGCACAGTGATAGCACAGCAGTTGTGCATCCTCTCAGGTCACAGATTATTGGCATACAAATACTGCCCTTGAATGGGCTGCAGCACATGGAAAACGTTTTTTAAATGCTATGCCGGCCATGTGGAACAACTACATAGTAAGAGCTTTCTAGCCTACCCTGTTGCATTATAACTAGAGAAGCCTGAAGAATTTGAGCCTCACAAATTCTTGTATGAAATGTCCTGATCTGCACTTATCAGATCAAACTGCATATCAAAACGACATAGCCAACACATTTTGCACTTCTTTCAATACTGCAACAAAATCCTGGTAGTTGAAAAGCACCAAATATGGATTTAAATGCACATTTTCAGAGAACATATGCATTTAAATAAGCATTAAAATACACAGTTCAATGCATATTAAGATGTGCATTAATATATATTAAAAACATGCACGCACACACACCTGAACGAGTCTCTGCTGTTGTTGCAAGGACCCTTCCCATACCGCCTTTCCCCTCCGACAATTCTATGTCAGATGAATCCCAGTCACTCTCTTCATTCTGCGCTGCTCTGGGAGGGTCTGGTTCTGTCTTGCGGGGTGTAAACTTTGGAGATGTAAAGTTTGATTCCTCTTCAGACTCTTCTTCAGAGCTGAAAGGCGAAGTGCTGGCGAATGAAAACAGAGCAGAGTGGGAAACAGAAACAAAGGATGGAGGAGAATTTCATTTGGTGCATTTTTTAAGCGTACTGATCTCCTTCAGTACACTTCCAGGCTAATATATTTATCAGAATGTAATTCTGGACTTCTCCAAATTTTGGGATGCATTTCTCAGCTCAATGCACACACGCACGGACACACACACACACACACACACACACACACACAACCTCACCAAAATGTGTGTAAGAGTATGTATGTATTCTAGGATGAAATAAGGTTAGAAAAGCACACATTGAGGAAAAATGTATATTTTGTGATAAAAATATATACTGACGTACATATTTATACATGAATTTAAAATATAAATTTATTTCTTTAAAAAAATCTACACTACAGATTAATGCAGAATCGAGACAGGACAGGACAGATCTATGAACAAACACATGTGAAACTGACATGGGTAAGAAATGAAAATCCCCAACTCTGCCTACAGAGTTTTGGAGCAACATCCAACTGAGACTCTTTTGAGAGATTCCCAGGGTACTTTGCAAATCTTAACCAATTAACAAGGTCTGCTGGAAATAGCTGTTTTAGGACAAGGAGCAACACTCTCTCACACAAAATTAAGATTAAAAGTTAAGCCGCACTTTTCTTCATGAAATTAAAAGCTTGCAAAACTGTTTGTAAAATGCTTAAAATATAATGACAACAGTTCAAATGACATCCTCAGTTTTCATACACAATAACCAAGACAATTCAGCATAAAAACAGGAAAATGGAAGTTTAACCCAGAACTTTAACCCACCTGGGATGATGGGCAGCAGAGTATTGAAGAGATGGTGTGCTGCTCCTCACTTGCTTTGGAGAAGGCATCCTGGGGGTCTCCACTGAACTGGCCTTGGAGTTCACTTTGCTCCGAGGGGCTGGTTTGGGCATCTCTGAGGCATAAGGCTTGAATTCAACTTGTTGCATTCTGGGCTTAGAAGACACAACCTGGATTGGAGACTGTGGGCTCCTTTGGCTTTTACCTGAAAGAGATGATTGGAAACATCTGAAGGAAAACAAATTGGCCAGTACCTGATCCAGGTAAATAATAAGGTAAAGGTAAAGGTACCCCTGCCCGTACGGGCCAGTCTTGCCAGACTCTAGGGTTGTGCGCTCATCTCACTCTATAGGCCGGGAGCCAGTGCTGTCCGCAGACACTTCCGGGTCACGTGGCCAGCGTGACATCGCTGCTCTGGCAAGCCAGCGCAGCACACGGAACACCGTTTACCTTCCCGCTAGTAAGCGGTCCCTATTTATCTACTTGCACCCGAAGGTGCTTTCGAACTGCTAGGTTGGCAGGCGCTGGGACCGAACGACAGGAGCGCACCCCGCCGCAGGGATTCGAACCGCCGACCTTTCGATCGGCAAGTCCTAGGTGCTGAGGCTTTAGCCCACAGCGCCACCTGTGCCCCTGTGAGGTAAATAATACACACCCCCAAATAAAATAAAGGCAATGCGCTGAAAATCACTACCCTAAATTAAGAATATCATAGAGAAACTTTTAGCAACGTTGTCTTCCAGATGTTTTGGACTATGATTTTGGGCTGATAGGAGTTGTGGTCTGGAGGGCTTCAGGTTGACAAAGGCTGTCACAAAGCCTCTTACCTGAGGTTCCCGAGAGTGGCAGCGAGAGATCGCTTTCATCCTTCTGACCCCTTCTGACTTTCCTTTTCACTTCTTGCTCAATTTTGTCTCTTAAGGCGAGGAGCTGTGGAAATTTTTTGGCCTTCTGCTGTTGTTGGGTTTTTATCACATCTCTCAAATGTTTATAGGTTTGAGCAGGGATACCTTTTGAACCCTGTAAGAAAAACAATTAGGAATAATGCAGATTGCATCACTGCCTAATTCTGTTCTTGTGTGGTAGACCACAGCCCTTTTCATTCATAACTGACACATAGAACAAATACGTTTCGATGGAGAGCCCTCCAGGTGTTGTTGGACTCTAAATCCCATCAGCACTGCCAGGCAACCTGGCCAGTAGTTGGGGTTAATGGGAGTTAGAGTTCAACAACATCTGCAGGATCACAGATTTTCCATCCTTGGTTTACCAGCTATTGGGTAGGGATGGAGGAGAAATTCCATAAGTTTGCATTTAAAGGTGACTCTATCAAATTCACACCTTACAAAGTCAAGTGAGAAACATCTTTCAAAAATTGCACTTTCTAAAAAGCTGAAGTATCTTCATGAGAGTTTTTCTTCCTTCATTTTTGTTAGCCACATTTCTAGAGCAATTTGTAAATTCTCATTTTTCCCAGTCTTAGAGAACTGAAACTCATAGATCCTTCCATCCCTATTGCCAGATAAGCTTGCCAAGATCTGCTAATAGATAAACAGGCCGACCAGAGGACACAGAGGCCTAGGCCTCCCTCAAACCTGGAGTGAGTCCTGACAGGCAAACACACTGCGGTGCTGTCATAAAAATAACTGCAGGTGAACTGTGGGAAAGTATTTTTTTGGACCCAAGATGGGAAATTTACAGAATTTCCATTAATAAGTGGATTATGAAAAGGAACACAGTGTTAACTTCCCCTGATATGGTCCCTTCTGCAAGCCATTTTCCTCAGATGAAGATTCCTAGTGTTGAAGAGCACCAGGGTGTCTATTTTCCTGACCAGGTATGAATGTCCACACATACTGAGGCTGTGTTGGAGGAACTTGTAATGAGACTTGACTCTAAATTCTCAGACATACAGTGGTGCCCCGCAACACGAATGCCTCGCAAGACGAAAAACTCGCTAGACGAAAGGGTTTTCTGTTTTTTGAGTCGTTTTCTGTTTTTTGAGACGAATTTCCCTATGGGCTTGCTTCGCAAGACGAAACGTCTTGCGAGTTCTTGCGAGTTTGTTTCCTTTTTCTTAAAGCCGCTAAGCCGTTAATAGCCGCTAAGCCGCTAAGCTGCTAATAGCCGTGCTTCACAAGACGAAAAAACCGCAAGACGAAGAGACTCACGGAACGGATTAATTTCGTCTTGCGAGGCACCACTGTATTAGGAATTGCAATCCTCAGTTGGATATGGAAAAGGAATTCAATGTTGGGCAATTGACTACAAGGGGAAAAGCTCTCTGTATCTACTTTCCCTCTCTCATGGAACTTACCCGCTTCACTCCCATGCTCTCCAGTTTCTCTTCAAGGGTCTCTTCCAGAATCGGCCGGAACTGTTTCAGCAAGTTTGGATTCCTCCTCAGTGCTTCTAGAACCTTCTTCTTTCTGTCCAGAGTATCTTCCAGTTCTGTAGTGAAACCAATGGCAAGAACCAGAAAAAAGCTTAAGAAATGGTGGTAAATCACCAGCCCGTGGGTCAGCTCTGGTGCCCAAGCAATCTTTCTTTGGGAAGGGGGACCAGTGGGCAACATCATGGTGCTTTGCTGAATGGAGAGGAACTTCTCCACACACCTTGACAGTGAGGAAAACTATGTTCACAGTGATCATCAGAACTGCTTGAAGGATTCTGGCACCTTAGTATGCTGCCATTATTTTCATATCCCAGCATAATGCTGACACTTAAACTTTTGTTTCGGGTGATCAGAAATATGAAATAATTTCGTGAGCACAGCCAATAACATTGGGACCAGTATTACTCTTTGCAATACTGCCTAAATTATCAACTTCTAATTACAGTCGTACCTCAGAAGTCGAACGGAATCCGTTCCGGAAGTCCGTTTGACTTTCAGAACATTCGGAAACCAAGGCGCGACTTCTGATTGGTTGCAGGAAGCTCCTGCAGCCAATCGGAAGCTGCAGAAGCCACGTTGGACGTTTGGGTTCCAAAGAATGTTCGCAGATCGGAACACTCACTTCTGGGTTTGCGGCGTTCGGAAGCCAAAACGTTTGACTCGCAAGGCGGTCGGGATCCAAGGTACAACTGTATTCTGCCACTGAATGATAGCTTGCAATACTTTATTCTTTTGCTACTTGGGGGGGGGGATAGAGTTCTAAATATATAAAGTAGGCCTAAAACCCATCTGCATCCTATGGCAGCTTGACAGAATCCAATTAATAAATATTATAATCAGTAATATGATGCTTATCTGGAGGTGGCAAACTAAAGTTAAGAAACCGTCCATCAGTGAAGTGCAGTCCTGTGTAATTAGCTGGGGGGGGGCTATGGGGGGGAGGAGTTGTTCCCTGCGCAAGGGGGTGCCTTGGGTTCCAGAGGGAATGGGCCAGCCATTGGTTTCTGGAGACCTATAAAGGTTCACTATTCAAGTTGGACTTTGGACAACAACGGTATCTAGCAGAAAATCGGAGAAGAGCAACTGAAATTGGTGAAAAATACCTTCTTCAGTAGATTCTTCTGAAGTTTCTGCCTTAGGAACAGTTATTTCTGGAAATTAAAAAGAGTAACTTAGGAAAAAGCACATTATTCAAATTCCAGTTGGTGGAACTCACACTTCTTACACATTAGCATGGAACTTAAGCTGTACAGTTTCATTTATCCCAGAAAAAAATTGATTTGTAGTTTTGTCCATATGGAACTTGGGAGCAAAACACTCTTCTGGAGCTCTCGAGGATTAGCCAGAATCCCTCAGATTAGTTACTGTGCATGCCTATTTCACATCTCAAGATTGCACAAGTGCTTAAATCTACTGTATGCTTGCAGTGCTGAAGTATACAAACACACTGGGTTTTTTGTACATGTGAATTTGTGTGAGTACATATATGGTCTAAATTGTATTTATAGTGTTCAGGATGATAAAACCTATTCAACTGTTATGGAGCGCATTAAACATTTCAAAAGACCTCTAGGCATGAAATCACTGAAAAGTTGCTGGATGACCATGGAATAGCTTTGATGAAAGCACTGGATTGCATATTTTGGTTAGAGGGTTAGAATTTTGAGAGTAATTTTATTATTTGCAGTAATAAATCAGATTTTTCTGCTACTGTACTGCATATTTCAGCACAAAGGAAAACCCTTCAACGCTGAGTTCCAAGCAATTTAATGATCATTTCAGAATCTTCTCATACTTCAGTTAAGTCCCATTAATTTTAACCAATTCAATTATGAACTGGGGAGGTTTAAATGTGATTATAAATCCTTCCTTCTCCAGGCCTATCAACTGATTTAAAGACCTGATGCAAGTGTACAGTACTTGAACACGTTCTCAAGTTCTACAGCAACTACATGTTACCAGTTCTAAGAATGTGTAAATGAAAAAAATGCATTCTTTCTCTGTTAACCTCTGCCTCCCCTCCCCTCTCCTCCTAGACTGGGCACGAACCTGACCTCTTGTACTCTGTCAGATATCATGCACACTGAATCAACAACAATAATTGCAATTATTGTTCACTCTTCCTTTGTGGCTCTACAATTCAGTGATTAATTTGACTGCAGTATCTGTCACTCAGTGACAGTATACTGGACTCTTCCAACAAGCAGAAGAAAAGAGAGGTTGCTCTCATTCCAAAAACAAGAATTCTTATTGTCTGCTAAATCGCTAGAGACAAAGACTTCGGTCCCCTTAGCAGCATAATGGGGAAAAATTGACTGTAGTAACTCTCCCTCACAGATGTGCTCTAAGAAAAATTCTTCTTTTAACTCTGCAAGTAGACTGCAACCTTAGAGCCACTATTAATCACTAATCCTTGATGTGCAGTTTGTACTGGGGCTGCAAGAAATCTTAGTTTCCAGAAAGCAATCTGTGGTTGTCACTATCTATAACAGCAAATAACTATGGAATCAATTGGGGCTTCCTTTGCTTCTGGGCCTCAGTTCCAATTTTAATTCCCACGGACACCAAAATCAGAGGTGAAATGTTCAGAATGACCTTAGAAAAAGAGCTGGATAATTAACTTCACTGTGAGCTTTTGAATCAATAGATATGGCTATTACAGAGTTCCCTTATCTGCCTGCCTAAACCTGCCCAGCTTCATACAGTTTGTCAAAAGAGAAAAAGAAGCATCTAGTGTTATCTATGGAAATTCATTCAGTCTAGATTTTGACCATTACCTTTAGGTTTGCTAGAAGACAAGAGCTTAATCTGCAAAACAAAATACGTTATTAAAAGATCAGTTTTATCTACAGATTTAGGAACTGCTTACTTACTGTGAGTGTCCACATAATCAGGAAAAAAAAGCAAAACAACAGAAAAAGGAGCCCCAAAGATGCACTGTATTCTTTAGGCAGGGCAGACATGGGGAACCATTGGTCATGCTGGGCTGGATGGGAGTTAGAGACTAACAGCTTTTGGAGGGGCACAGCTTCCTCATCCCTGTACCAAGATCTCATTCAAAGTGGTCCTCTGGTATAAGCCCTACTATCATATGAAAGGTTCTCTTCATCAAAAGAACTTGAATAGAAGAATCACAGTGCAGAACAAGGGAGTTTAATATCAGGGGAACATTCAAACATGCAGATTGCCACCTGTTCTTTGGCAAGAGCAGCAGCATGTAATTCTGCTTATTGTGCAGATTGAGTCTTAGAGCAGAAGCAACAGTCTGCTTCAGAACAGGACTCAAAATTCTTGTTGAACCTGAGCCCAAGAGGTGAACAGAGTGCTTCTTACAGGACTGAAGGCAGGAGGCCATATTCAACTTACTGTTTTCTCCTGTGACTGGATGATCTTGACCTGTTCCCTGAGTTGTGCGCTGAGTGATGCTATTTGCTGCTTGCTGTGCTCGGCCATTTTCCATTGGTCAGAAGACAAGGAGGCCCGTAGTCTCTCATTCTCACCCTTCAACTGAGGAGATAAGAACAAACTGTTTAGAGATTTGGGCATGAGGACCCACTGCATGAAGGTAGTGTTATTGTGTGTGCAGGCTCTGCCCTCCAGCATCCAGCACAATGTATACACAGAGTCTAGGCATGTAATAGTTTGTTGCATTGTATATGCATAATCTCTGTTCATGTATCATGCTCTACACAGGTGTGGGCAGATTCTGTTCCTATTTGGACACTGACTGTACACCAGTACAATGTTTCAACTCTTAATGAGAGAGAAACTGTGAGAAAAATATATTCTTCAGCACACTCACCTCTTCCTTCTCCATCTGGTGTTCCTTCTGAAGATCCCTCAGTTTCCACTTCCATTCTGTTTTCTGATAAATTAAAAACAACAATAACCTCAGTCTTAGCCAAACTTATTTGTACTCACCCAGCCCTATTGAAGAGGCTCCTCATGAGGCTGGAGGACCATCACCCAGCTGTGGGGCGTGAAGGCCGCTCAACGGCCCCATCTTTTTGTGCCTGCCAAACAGCCGTGCCATGCTTATGATGATACTTTATTTTCTTCTTAATTATGCTGTTTTAAATGTGCTTTTTATATTTGATTTCACCTACCAATGTCTTCTTTTGAAATGTTTTGCCTCCTATAGTAATACAACTATGTTGTATTACTGTCATGGCACAAGGGACATCTTCGTAAGTGACTCCACAACAATCTATCTGCTGTTATCATTTCCCACTCCCTACAATAGCTATATAGCTTAGGTTTTATGGTTTGGCTCCTGGGGTGGGGGTGGGGCTTAGAATGTAATGGACTGCAAAAATAAGATTGTACTCTTAAGTGTCTTCCTCCTACCCTGTTATATTCTACAAGCAAGAGATGATATATTGCAGAGCTCACAACCACATCTATGCTCATGCACCTGTTGCTCAATCTTTGCCTTCATCCCCTGTAGTTCTCTCTGAGTCTTCTTCCATTGTTGCTTGTCAGGTGACTCGTCATCCTGCAATGTCCCCAGATTAGAGACCACTGCACTCTTGCCTTGTAGTTCCTGCAGCTTCTGGAGGAGGAATAAGTGGTACATGTAAACACTTTGCTGGCAAAGAGCAGCGGCCAGAGCTATTAAGGCATCACTCAGGTACAGTAGGTTAGGTTTCTGTGCCATATCTGATGGAATATAAAAAGCAGAGTTGTCATGTAAGTTGGGACTTCCCTATGTAGGTATGAATACCTGTTGGGAGGAACACCAGCTTCTTGCTTTGTGTTTTACTATCTTGATTGGGCAAGGACGACTAGCTAGAGTGTGGATATTCCCCACAAACAGGAGCATAACCAATCGCATGGCTCTCCACTTTCTGCATGGTGATGGAAATTAAGCTAAGTGAACAAGACCTTGCAAAATTATCCAGGCTATTTATAACCAGAAAAGCGCATTCTACTGAATAATCTCCAGAGAAGGATGGAAATTTTGGCGACACACAGGGCACCACATTACCAAGGTCCATCCATGCTCAAAAGTGATTCATGCTTCTCTAACATAGGGAATTTTACCATTCCTTGAAGAAAAGGCCCTGCTGTTCTTTTGTGGTAATATTTAAAAGCAGCATGCCTGTTTATTGAAGCCTGTGACTGCCCTGAATGTTCAAGGAAAAGAGAAAGTTGTGCATTCGCCTTACCCCCTCCAAGGCAGAATTCTTGCTGGCAATGTCCTTGAATTCGGTGAGGAACAGGTGCCGGAGGTCCTCCATCTCCCTTTGAAACTTTACCCTCTCTTCCTCCTTCCATCTCTCAAATTTTCTTCTGCTTTCCTCTTCTCTTTGCCTCAGGTGCTCTGCTTCCTATCAACGAAACAACAAGATCCGAAGCTGGAAATAAGCTGGTTAGAAAAGACAGAAAGTTGTGGCTATGGAATGATTTCACAGCAGTTTCCAGAAATCCCACTCATTCAAACGGAAGTGGAAATACTCCAAGCAAAGGACAGGACAGTCCAATTCTTGCCCAGCTAGTTTAAGCTGGATATTCAACATGGCAACAACCAATAGCTTGCAACAGTGGGAGGGGGATGAGTGGAGTGGCAATGACCTGCGCAGACAAGTTGCCCTATCAAATATATTAAAAGTACAATCTTGTTATGTCAGGTCAAAACTAAGTCCCACTGAGTTCAAGGTGTATGATTGTGGCACACAGGAACATAGGAAGCTATCTTATACTGAGGCAGATGGTCCATCTAGCTCAATAGACTCTGACTGGCCATAGTTTCAGGTAGAAGATTCCCCTACCTGGAGACACTAGGGATCGGACTTGGGGTCTTCTGCTTGCAAGGCAGCTGCTCTGCCATTGAGCTACAGCCATTCCCTGATATACTTGAGGCTCACAAGGAATTCCTTTCCACTGGTTTATTGGCCGCCCCACTGAACAGCAGATACCCAGGCCAAGAGAATATCTGAGGTGACTGTCATTGTTCTGAAGGACGTCCATGTGCCTGCAAATGTTTGCCCTTCAGGGTCCCCTCACACCTTCATAGCGTGCATGTTTCTGCAATGGAGGCAACTCACCTTTGGATTTATTTTTACTGGAGCAGAAGAAATATTGTCAGATGGGTATTTTTTTTAAAAAAGGTTTTGTTCATTGGTGTTTTTAATCTGATTTGAATGTCTTTGTTATTTTATTTTTTACTGTGTAAATCACTTTACTACTTTCAAAATGCAAAAATGGGACTCAAATATAACAAACAAACAAACAACAAGCCTCTTCCCTTCCAGCTGCCGTGGTGCAAAAGTGCATTATCAAGAGTTTCGCATGCACTGCTTTCACTTTGGCTACAAACAGATTGTTGTAATTCAGCAAGCTATGAGGGCTTTGGCCTTTGTGAGTTCATACCTGAGCCCTGCTTTGGCTCTCAGCCTCCAGTTGGGCATGGGTCTCCTTCAGTTTCACCTTCAGTTCTTCAATCTCACTTTCCATTTGTACCACTTGTTTCTTCTTTTCCTGCTCTATAAAATTCATTCAGAAAAAGGCACAGTTAGTTATGGCGTCAATTGCAAACATTTTTAACTGTGGTACCCAGGAATGTAAGATGATGATGATGATCAGTGCTTTTTTTTAAAAAAAAAATGTTTAGAGGTACTCTCATTTTCCTACTCATATTGAAATACTGCCCCTCAATGAGGCCAAACTTAGATTCACAAAATGTTTAGGGGTATGCGTACTCCCGCATTCCCCCAGAAAAAAAGCACTTATGATGATGGTAATGATAATGACAATGATAACGATAACGATAATGATAATAGTATTAGTAGCAGTAGTAGTAAGAATAATACTCTGCCCTTCTGGCTTGGTTTTCCCAGCCTGCAACTCTATTTTTCATTTATTTTTTACCTAAAACATTGCTTTGTATGTCAGGAAAATAATATTTGACACAAGTGCATTAACATGGGCCACATTTCAATCCAGTAGCAAATGTGTTTAGGCCTGTTGATTTCAAAGCACACCAGCATAGCTAGCTCTATAATGGATTGTCATCATAAATTATAGCGGAACCACTGCCCTCTGCTGGACAAAACCATGCCCAGAGCTGAATTTCCTCTAGGTTTGTGGATTTCGTTTTCCTCTCCTTTTGTGAACTTCCTTTGCCACCTCAATAGTATGTGTGTGGTATATTTTGCAGTTTTCTTAGGCTTCCTAGAAGTATTTTGTTCCCAGTCATAAATCCAAAGCTATACCTCAGAGAATCTCGTGCATATTATTTGGTGAGGTAAATCAATTTGAACAAAATGTATTTGTCATGTTTTAATCTATATGCTTTATGGCTAACCTTATAATTATGTGAGCATGAAGTATACCCTTCTGAGGTGGGGCAGTTATGGTTGCATGACTGTATCCAGATTTGCAGAATGACATCTTAACATTTTCCAAAATGCTGGATGTAAGTACATTAATTTCTGATGTTGCCAGTATGGCTCAGAATCAGTTTATATGTGAAACCATTCAGGGGGGAAAAAGATAGCTACTGAGCCCCTTATTTGTAGATAATGGGCAAGCTAAACAGTTTGTTTCATTATAATGATCTTTTAATGTAAAAGGAAATCTCTCCAGATTTTCTACCCACAAATGAGTTAAGGGAAAGAAAATGCCTGAATACTTAATTAGTAACAAACTACTGGGTATCAACCTGTATATGGAGAGAGGCACTCAAAAATCAAATGCTTTTACAGTTTGATTGATCCAATGGGCCCCTGATGGTCTCAAATAACACTTCAGAGCAGGGGCAGTAACTGTGCTGTCCTGCAGATGAACTGTAACATCCACCACCCTTGACTGCTGGCTATGCTAAATGGAGCTGATGTGTGTTTGAGCCCAGCAAAATAAATTTGGGCAGGGGCACTGCATTCACTACCCCTGCTCTAGGCAATCTGGAAAACAAAGGGTCCCTATGAGTTAGTTAGTTAGTTATTAAATTTAACAAGGACAAGGAAAAGAAGAAAATGGGGGAAAATATGAAGTAAAATGCACCCGTTTCACCAGTGCAAAGATTTCTGTTTGTGCAACACAACTCGCCCCCCCCCTTTCTCAGTCAGTTTGCATTTCTTAGTACAGAAACTATTGATCTGATGTGTAGAGATCTTTCCTATTCTAATTAATTCAAGTGGTCTCTGGAAGCTTCCCTGTGCAAAAGAAACAAGCAGAAGGTTCATGATGTTTTGGTGATTCCTTCAGACAGTGTTTTTTTCGAGGGGGGAGGGGTACGGATACCCCTAAATATTTTGTGAACCTAAGTTTGGCCTCATTGAGGGGAAGTGTTTCAATATGAGTAGGAAAATGAGAGTACCCCTAAACATTTTTTTTAAAAAAAGCACTGCCTTCAGAGAAACTGAGCACAGCTGGCTTAAATTGGTTCTGTTATCTCTTCTGTCAAGGTCATGATGACTATAAAAGTAAGGCCAGAAGGAGCCCGAGTTTCACTTTCTCTTTCTAACTCTCTTCTTCTGGTGTGGTGTTCTGCATATAGCGTTAAGGTTTAGACTTATTACCATGGTAGCTCTAGTTGAGGACACGATCCATTCTGGGGTGCCATTCGCACCCCAAAAAGTCCGCAACTAGAGCGGTGCTTCTGTGCATGTGTGAAGCGCGCAGAACGCTTCTGTGCACACATGCACGGTGAAACCTGGAAGTATACACTTCTGGGTTTGCTGCGTTCACAAGCCGAGAAGACGTAACATGAACCTAACGCAGCACGAGGTATAACTGTATAAGTTATTGTAAGTTCAGTGGCACCTCGCAAGACGAATGCCTCGCAAGACGGAAAACTCGCAAGACGAAAGGGTTTTTGGTTTTTTGAGCTGCTTCGCAAGACGATTTTCCCTATGGGCTTGCTTCGCAAGACGGAAACGTCTTGCAAGTTTGTTTCCTTTTTCTTAAAACCGTTAATACAGTTGCAACTTGACTTCGAGGAGCAACTCATAGCACACGGTGTGGTAGCCTTTTTTGAGGTTTTTGAAGACTTTGGTGATTTTTGAAGCTTTTCCAAAACTTTTCCGACACCGTGCTTCACAAGACGAAAAAAATCACAAGATGACAAAACTCGCGGAACAAATTAATTTCGTCTTGCGAGGCACCACTGTTTAAGTTAAGTCTGCTGCAACTGGATTTCTTATGGACGGTGCCAATCCTGAATGTATTGGATTTGCAACCATTATGCTCATTTGTCTTCAGTAGCAGTAAAGCTCTGCTGGATGAACTATTAATTGCCTCTGGTTTATTTTTGGGGAATCCTGCAATGTGTTTAAGTTTTTACTCTGCTAACTATATGTTGGAGTTCTGCTCTGGATCAATATTGCATAGATTTTCTATGACATTCTCTTCATGAGTGTGCTCTGCACATTCCCCAAATGTGCTCTGGAGCATTGGGGAACTCCCAGAACAGATTTAGAGGGCACACAGGCCGTCCTGTGGGGAGGGGAAGGGGGAAGTTCCATTGCACAGCTAAAAGTCCTTGTGCTGAAGGAACAAGCACACTGAATAACAATGCCCTCTGTATTTCGGATTGGCTATTAGTTATTATGGTCCCCATATGTTAGTGCTAGTTTATGCTGATGTTTTAAGACATATATAATCCTTATCTTTTGTGCTGCTAAAAAGGGGGGGCAGTATTGTTGGTTTCTTTTTGTATTTGTGATATTTTTAAGACACTGTAAACCAATTAGCACTTATTATTAGTCTTGAAATATGAAGCAGTACATAATGAAATAACCCTCTATGCTCACCTGCTGCAGTGACCTCTGGGTGCCTGCGCAGCATGTGGGCTTGAAGAAAGGAGTAGTTCATGAAGGTCTTGTCACAGAATTGGCACTGGAGAAAGACAAAGAAAGGGACGGATAGGTCACATGCTGGCCTGGTTCACACATCAAGGTAAGCCAGAGTGTGGCTCATCATGACCGCATGAATGTGTTGGCTCCTGGCTAGGAACTCACACTGCTCCCCCTCCCGCTTTTAAGTTAGCCTGGGAGGACACCTAAGCCAAAGTTTGGCTTAGCCTGTCACTCAGACCAGGGATCAGGGTGAAGATGCCTCCTTCATGACCATGACCTGCAACTGCAGGACAAACTTTGGCAACAGGTCAAGGAGAAGAAACCTGAATCACGATTCTGGATTTAGACCACATGTTAAGCCAAACAAACCAGGACCACATTCATACCACACATTGAAAGCACTATGACACCTCTTTAAACATTCATGGCTCCCCCCAAAGAATTCAAGATGCTGTGGTTTACTAGGGGTGCAGAGAGTTGTTAGGAGATCCCTATTCCCCACACAATTCCCAGTGAGCCTTGGGAAGAGGGATTGACTGTAAAATCACCCTGAGAAACAGAAAACCATGGAGGTGAAATAGGGGTTCCCCAAAAACTCTCAGCACCTTAACAAATGACAGCTCCCAGAATTCTTTGGGGGAAGCCATGACTCTTTAAAGTGGTATCATGGTGCTTTAAAAGCATGGTGTGAGTTTGGCCTATGTGTCCATGAGTGTCCTTCTTTACAACCCTGACAGCTATCATATACCAGTTGCAGATGGGTAGCCGTGTTGGTCTGCCAAAGGAATTTTTTTTGTTTTGAGCTATCATATAGACCAGGGTTAGGCAACCTAAGGCCCAGGGGCCGGATGTGGCCCAATCGCCTTCTCAAACTGGCCCACGGATGGTCCAGGATTCAGCATGTTTTTACATGAGAAGAATGTGTCCTTTTATTTAAAATGCATCTCTGGGTTATTTGTGGGGCATAGGAATTGGTTCATTTTTTCCCTTCAAAATATAGTCCGGCCCCCCCACAAGGTCTGAGGGACGGTGGACCAGCCCACGGCTGAAAAAGGTTGCTGACCCCTGACATAGACCTAAAAAGCCAGAGGAGGAGCAGAGCATTCCACTAGGCCAACTCCAAGCTTAATGCAGGACCAGATGCTCAAACTAAATCTGAATCATGGGCTGTTTGTGAATGGCTGCTGAAGTACTAACACCCAGACAGCTGTAACCTCCCCCCCCCCCAATGTTTGCTAATCTATCTTTGCTTCTGCAACCACAATCAGGCAGATGAGCTGGAAGAAAAACAAAGATCATTCACATTTCCTTGACAGGCCGCTGACTGAAAATCCACAGTGCATAATGCAGCTCCGTATGCTCCAGCTGTCCCTATTTACCAAGGACAGTCCTCAGAAAACAGAAGGTATTTAAGCAGAAACTGTCAGGGATGCTATAGTTGCATCCTGCATTGTAAATCCTGAACTGAACAGAGGGGTTGGACGAGATGACCTGTGGTACAACAGTGCTCAGGCGATCTCTCCCAATCCTCCACTGTGTTTGCGGGCACAGAAACTTGCAGGCTCATTTCACCAAATTTCTCCAGTATCTCCAGTACCTTATCTCCACCCACCACCTACAAAGTTTCCCCTTCTCCTTTTGCTGCCACTGCAAATGTTAGCAGCAGCAGCAGCAGCAGCATTGGCAGAATGGGCACCATTTTACATCCTCATCAGTCCCCTGGATCTAACATCATCCTGGAGCATTGCAGGGCTAAGGGTGGCCGCCAGAACAAAACAGAGGAGAATATCTGGAGAAAATTCTGCTGGGAAATTTTTTTAATTAAAACTAAATCAGGCTGAGGGGATGTCAAAAAGAAAGATCTCAGGCATTTTTTCTCAGGGAAATGCCATCTGAGAAGTTTGGGATCTGCTCCATCTTCAAGGTCCTTTCCTACTTTCCACTCAATGCACCCACCCAAACAGCAAATATGTGGAAGCTACCACCGGCAGTATCCCTGCTGGGAGCAGTCTGTGCATCCTCATGGAGGAGCACATTCTGGGAGAGAGGAGGGGGTAGAGGTGGTCCTGTTGCTGTCAACTGATGGGAATTGGCCCAGTCTGGGCCCATTTGCTGCCCTAGTATGGGATCTGGTATAGCAAAAGTGCATTTTTGCCCCACCACCTACCCTTGCTGGCTTGAGCAGCAGTGTTGCTGATGCAGTGGTGGCTGTGCCACTGTTATAATCAGCCACTGCTGGTGTGACACATGGCTTGTTCTGCTCATGTGCATATATATGCACACAGAAAAGTCCAGTAGCTTCCCTTCCATCCCACCAATAGCTGTCTATCCCAATAATACACGTATGCTCATGCCATTGTGGTTAGGATGTAGCGGGGAGCAGGGGGAGGCCTACTCCAGCAATGATCCTTACTGTGAGAGCAAGGCTGTCCTAAGTACCCATGTGTGTCCCTATTTACAACTAGGGCTGGGCGATATACTGGTAAATTGTATGAAATTTGTATGGTGTTCTGATTGCAATACCAGTTTCAGACATTTTGAGAGGGGGTTTCATTGTGCTGGCCAGGGAACCATGATGTTTTCCCAGCTCAGATTGCCTGCAGACAGCAAAGGCACAGACAGACAGGCAGACAGAGCCCAAAAGGGTTCTGGGCAAGCACTTTCTACACCTCCATCTGCCTGTGCCTTTGAGGAAGCCCGCTTCTCTGGCTCACATGAGCCAGAGCAGTATGGGGGCTAGTTCAGCTGGAGGCAGGAGGCTCCCCGCCCCCAGCTGAGCAGTTTAATGAAGCCCCTGCCCCTCTGGCTCACATAAGCCACAGAAGTATTGGGGTTTGCTCCCATCGTTCAGCCCGGACACTGAGGTCCAGCTCTGAGGGCCTTCTGGAGGTTCCTCATTAAAAGAAGTGAAGCTACAGGGAACCAGGCAGAGGGCCTTCTCGGTAGTGGTGCCTGCTCTGTGGAACACCCTCCCATTGGATGCCAAGGAAATAAGCAACTATCTGACTTTTAGAAGACATCTGAGGGCCTCCCTGTTTAGGGAAGTTGTTAATGTTTGATGTTTTATTGTGTTTTTAATATTCTGTTGGGAGCTGCCCAGAGTGGCTGGGGAAACCCAGCCAGATTGGGGGGGGTATAAATAAATTGTTGTTGTTGTTGTTAGGACTGGGTGATGGGAGGAAGAAGCATCTGAGTTACATTCCAGACATCATGCTATATCAGCATATCATGGTATTTAGCTGCTGATATACGCGGGTGGCGCTGTGGGTAAAACCTTAGCGCCTAGGACTTGCCAATCGTCAGGTTGGCGGTTCGAATCCCCGCGGTGGGGTGCGCTCCTGTTGCTCGGTCCCAGCGCCTGCCAACCTAGCAGTTTGAAAGCACCCCCGGGTGCAAGTAGATAAATAGGGACCGCTTACCAGCGGGAAGGCAAACGGCGTTCCGTGTGCTGCGCTGGCTCGCTAGATGTAGCTTGTCACGCTGGCCACGTGACCCGGAAGTGTCTCCGGACAGCGCTGGCCCCCAGCCTCTTAAGTGAGATGGGCGCACAACCCTAGAGCTGGACACGACTGGCCCGTACGGGCAGGGGTACCTAGATATCGGCTAGCCCTGTTTACAATTATGAAAGCTGCACAGAAAGCATGCAGCCATATCACTCACCTTGTGGTAGTTATTGGCCCCAGCTTGCAAGAGCAATTGCTGCGTGGCAATCATCTTTTTACGCCTCCTGCTCTCTTCCTTGACACCCTTCAGCTCTTCTGCTTGCTTATCCCAGTCCTCCTTGACGCGTTTGAGGTCTTCCAGGGTCGCTTGGTGTTGCTCTTCCTGAAGGGCCAGGCTCATGCTCAAGTACTCCTGAGAGTGCAGCAGGTACTCGATGGTCAGCTGGGCCATCTTGAAGACCTTCAAGAGCACAGGGTCAACTGGCTGCTGACAGTAGGGGCACTTTTCTGCATCGAGGTTGCAAAAGGTGACGCTGTTGATGTTCTCCTGCAGAGTGGCAAGGTCCAGCTCGCGAGCCACCCGCTCCACATCGATGGCGCTGAACCGCCTCCAGTCAATCGCGTCTCGCCGCAACTGGAATTTAAAGGCGGGGACCAGGCTCGGACCGGCGAGCATGCTGCCCAAGAGATGGCTGCTGCTTGGGAAGTTCACAGGAAATAATGTGGAGCCTGGCATACCTGTCCAATAATGACGGTGTGCAGACAGTTGTGGTGGGTAGTAAATATTAGCAGCGAAAGGCTGGGCAATGGAAAGGATACAAGATGAATTAGGGCTGGAACAAAATGGGAACTGATAGAGTACACCTGTGTACTTGAAGCAGACCCAAAACATGTACGAATGTAAGAAGAGCCTGCTGAATCCGGCTAATGGCCCATCTAGTTCACATCCTATTCTCAGTAGCCAAGCAGATCCCCATGGGAATCTCTCAAGCAGGACCTGAACACAAGAACCCTCTTCGCTCCTGTGGTTCCCAGCAATAGCTATCCAGAAGCATTACTGCTTCTGACCCTGGAGGCAGAGCACAGCCATCATGGCTGATAGCGACTGGTAGTCTATGTCTAATGCTCTTTTAAAGCCATTCTAGTTGGTCGCCATCACTGCCTCCTGATGGAGGGAGTTCCATAGTTTAACTATGTTCTGCATAAATAAGTTCTTCCTTTTATCCATCCCAAATTATCCAACATCCTGATTCATTGGAGGTTTGTGAGTTCTAGCATTATGCTAGAAGGGAAAACGACCTTTTCGCTATCCACTTTCTCCATGCTATTGATTTCTATCATGTCACCTCTTCCCTGCCCTTCATCTAGACCAGCGGTTCTCAACCTGTGGGTCCCCAGATGTTGTTGGACTACAACTCCCATTATCCCTAGCTAGCAAGGCCAGAGCTCAGGGATGATGGGAGTTGTAGTCCAACAACATCTGGGGACCCACAGGTTGAGAACCGCTGGTCTAGACTAAAAAGTCCCAAAATGGGGCAACCTTTCCTGATAGCAAAGCTGCTCCATCCTCTTGATCATTTTGGCTGCCCTTTTCTGTGTAGCCTGCAAAACTGATTTCCTTTTATATTATTCTATTCAATCCTCGGGCACATGGGAGAACTCAGTCGGTGGAGCAGGAGACCCTGAATCTCAGGGTCATGGATTCAAGCTCCATGTTGGACAAAAGATTCCTGTATTGGGGGTTGGGCTAGATGACCCTCATGGTGCCCTCCAACTCTACAATTCTATGTTTCTATATCACTTTACTTATTACCATTCTAGATCGTTAAACAACTACAGATTAGAAACAACTACTAAGGTTTCAAATAATGAAGAAAATAGCAAGATGAATAGGTGAGCAAATCAAGGTGACTGCTGTTTCTAGCTGAAATGTTTGATTCATTCGCTATTAAATTCAACGTTGGCTCTCAATATAGGCTTATCAAGAATACAGGCAAGGGTTCCAGCTTCCATATAAAAAACACTCCTGTACTTATGTACTCAAACAACTATAATTTGAGTTGTGTTGATTCCTACTCAAATAGAAAATGCACGAGAGTCACTGAGCTTTCAGCTTTGAGGACTGAAAAAATGAGGACATCTAATATGGTACTCTTATTATAACAATTTGCTTTCAACATTTAATTGCCACAATTACAAAACCGCTTACAATGTAATCCTAGACATGCTTATTCAAAAGAAAGTTCTATTATGCTCAATGGGATTTACTTCCAGGAATGTGTGCATAGGATAGTAGCCTCTAGGGGAAAGTACTGTAAAATGATACATACCATTTTTTCCAGTATAGAAATGCTGTTCTGATCTATCTGGACCCCTTGCTTATTCACAACAGACAGTTGTGTTGTGCAACGGTGTGTTACTAGGTGTGTCCTGGCATGATGGTAACAGGACTCCAAAGTTTCCCTCACAGTAGCACAAATATACCATAGCTAAGCAGCACGCTCCAAGTGGTTAAATATTCATTCTTGGCTTTGTATGTATTTGTTTGCAGCTCCAGTATGAGCAAACAAGGATCACAATGAACAACTAGGTGATAACATGTGTTCTCATCTGCCAGCAAAGCTGCTCTGCATTCTACACAGGACAAACAGGCCAGTCTAAATATGAAAGACTAAATGGACACCAATCTGACATCTAAAGTGGCAATATTCAAAAACCAGTGGTGGGACAGTTCAACCTACCAGAATGCTCTGTAAATTACCTTAAAGTAGCCATCCTGCAGCAAGGGAAATTCAAAGGGAGATTGCAATATGAAACCACTGAATTGAATGAAAGGGTTCGATGCTATCACTTGTGGGCTGAACCGAGACAAAGGACATTTGGCATATTAGCGATGTTAACTGCTTTACAAAGCATGGTGCCTGTGCCGTCAATAACTATTTGTGAAGTCCCACTGTTAAATATGGAATTATTACTCTCTGTACTTTTCCGCTTTTCATTTCCCTCAGACTTCACTTTTAACAGTTTCCCTCTACCTGCCCCACCCCCCATACCAAAACCTCAGGATAACACTTCATACATCTGATGAAGTGGAATGTAGTTCACAAAAAGCAAGTGGCATAATAAATGTGTTAGTCTTTTAGGTGCCATACGACTCTTGGGGCGTGTACAGCCTGCATAATAATGTGCATTCAGTGCTGGATGCAAGTGCCTTTTAGGGGTGCTGTACACACAATGTCCTCCCCATGCTGCCCCAGTGTCCCACACTATCTGCTTTGTGCTGGGAGTGCACTTCTCAAGTACTTGCTGTTTACCTGCGCACAGAGAGAGCGCTTTTCTCAGGTCCCCTCCTGTTGGGGCAGACCTACTGATGTTGCAGGGCTGTTATCACTCCCCTCACCATGTTTAACTTGCCTATGAATGAAAGGGGCAAAATGTACAGGTTGATGTAATCTTCAACCAGGCCCTTGGCTGATTAACATTCTAAAGCCTTTTAAATGTGTGTGTGGGAGGAGGGGGTTGTTGTTTTGTTGTTTCTGTTTTAACTATTTATTTGTGCTTTTATCTTGTATTTCTATGTTGTGAACAACCTTGAGATCTTTTGAGTGGTATAAAAATCTAATAAATATTAATAGACAAATAAATTTTCTTGCAGCTGCTGAAGTCCCAGGGGCCCTGTCAGAAGCAAGGCGGAAGGCCACATTGTAAAGCATCATTGGTGGTGCTTAAACAGAATTACAGGAAGCTGCTTAAACAGAATTACAGGAATCTGCCTTATGCTGTCAGACTATCAGTCCATCTCACTCAGTATTGTCCGCATGAGTGTTTCTCAATCTTCAGTTCCCCATAAGTTGTTGGGTTACGGCTCCCATCGTCCCTGATTAAAAGGGCTGAGGGTCTCCAGTTGTTTTTGGACTACAATTCCCATCTTCCTTAGCTAGCAGGACCAGTGGTCGGGGATGATGGGAATTGTCGTTCAAAAACAGCTGGAGATCCAAGTTTGGGAAACACTGGTCTACACAGATTGGCGTGGGTTTCAGACAAGGGTCTTTCTTAGCCTTTCCTGGAGATGGCAAAGATTGAACCTTCGGCTTTCTGGATGCAGTGCAGATGCCCTAACACTGAGTTTCTGCCCTCCCCCTACCTTTTCTCTCACACCATAGAAGAGAATGGCCTAAGTAACATGCCTCTCTTGACAACCCTCGACAACCTCTCTGGAAAACTGCTCCAAGTGCTAAGAAGCCCCAATGCCTCCGAAGAGAAGGGTGCACCGGGCCTTGCTGGCCGCGGAATGTCGAACTCCCCTCTCCCCCCCGCAAATTTTGGCTAGCAATTTCTACTCAGGCAGTTTCAAAACTGAACAAGGAGCGATGCCTTTTCTTCTCCTCCTCCTCTCCTCTCCTCTCCTCTCCTTTTTTTTTTTTTTTTTTTGGTGGCAGGCTACTTTATAACCAGCATGCCCCAACTCAGCGCCCCTGCTTCCCTTCCCAGTAAACGAACTCCCCTTCCTGCCACGCAGCCCCCAAGTCCTCCCCTTAGCTGCTTCAGATTCTCCAGTAAAGTTTGCAAGGAATCGGCTTTTGGAGAAAAGTTTCCTAGGCAGGCTGCAGGCAGGAGTAGCTTGGTGGACAGCGAGGGAGGAGCTACTATGTAGATTTAGTTCGCTTGGTCAGCTCAGCTCCTTAAGTTTCCAGTCTGGAGGTTCCTGCGAGTGTTTGCAATTTAACAAGCCACTTGATCCGCTGATGTTTTCCGGAGCGGTGGGAACATGCAAGAGGGAAAGAAGGCGAGCAGTGGCTTGAACAAAGCAGAGCTGGTTAGTCCCACCTCTCTGCATTCCTCCTCCTCTCCCTCTTCCCTCCCTCCTTCCCTCCTCCAACTCTTTTGCCACAGAGCTTCACGATGCAACGTTTCAGTTCTTTACCAAACAAAGCAAATCCTTACCTGTCCCCAGGGCGCATGTTTTGTGGCGTGGGGTTGGGAACGGGGCGCGTGCGAGAGAGAAAGAGAGAGATCTAGAGCAGCCTGGATTTGGAGGCGCAACTCTCTCCGAGCTGGAATCTTCCTTCTCTCCTCCCACCCAGGAAATTCAACACCATCCAGCAAAGCGCTGGTTCCCCACAGCGACGAATCGCCTCGGCCTAAATGCACAACATCAGGCTGAAGCGGGAGAAAGCAGCTCCAGGGCTTTGAGCGCAGAGAGCTGCTCCCTCGAGGATGGGGGGGGGGGGAATCGCTGCGAGGCCGTCCCCAAAGCCAAGCCGTTGCTGTAGTAACTTCTAATAACACCCTACCTGATTTCCCTTTCCCTTGTTTGGCTTTGCTAACGCGGAAAGAGGGAGGATCAGGTAATAAAAGTGCATTAGACTCAGAGCATCGATGCTCAGGGGGTTATTAAGCTGCTGTATGTTTGATAACAAAGCTGCCTCCCCGTGGCTATAATTGTACCCGAACATGTAACTGCAGGTGAGGAGGCTGGGCTCACGGTTGCAATTAAGGACGGGCAAATCTGTCAACATGGGTTTCTCTTACTTACTCGTTTTTCCAGTCTTCAGTTCAGTTTGCCACTTTCCCACAACAGTTTGCAATGATTATTATTTTTTAAAGTCCTCAAGGTAATTGATCAGCATTTGGGCATGGATTTCTCCTGATAAGACACACTTTTCTGTATGATTTTGCCTAATACAGTGGTACCTTGGGTTACATACGCTTCAGGTAACATACACTTCAGGTTACAGACTCCGCTAACCCAGAAACAGTACCTCTGGTTAAGAACTTTGCTTCAGGATGAGAACAGAAATCGTACGGCAGCAGCGGGAGGCCCCATTAGCTAAAGTGGTACCTCAGGTTAAGTACAGTTCCAAGTTAAGAACGGACCTCCAGAACGAAATAAGTACGTAACCAGAGGTACCACTGTATATACATTTTTGCAAGCTAGTTTCCTCTAATGTAAAGCATTTTTCTATGTTATTTTCACTAATATGTGCATAAAAATGCAAGAGTACAGCTACAGTTCTATCTCTGGGAGTAAGCCCCATTGATCTCAGTCATGGGGCTGACCTTGGAATAGATATGTATTGGATTGTGCTGTAAGTTCTCTTTCAATAAGAGTTTTGGTGACATGAAATCAACCAACTTACTTGCATATGTAATACATTTTATCTGGGTTTCTTTTGCTCGGTTCCTCTGGCCATGTCATTTACCCTTGCCCAAACTGCAGTTTGCAAAACCAAACAGAACTTTGCATCTGATCCTTGATGGATTGGGGGCATTCTAGTCTGCTCAATTACTATAAATTGTCTCAAGAGGCAGTAGCTTAAATAGCAACTTGTTTTGCAGTAGGTAAAGCAGAATCATATGCCTGACAAGCAATGGCTTATCCACCTCCCCATCCTGTCCTTAAATGAGGCCAGCACAGGGTTTCATGATTCTCCATGAATCTTATGGACAAAACGAAATGGCTTTGTCCTTGTCCTTTCAGTGCCCCTTAATAAGTGGTGTATTGAGTACCCGTCAAAGGAAGGAAAGGCCTCTCCACCCCCCCCCCACAAAAAAAGTTACTAGGAAAGTTGAAGAGGATAATATATGTAGTTAAGTTCAGAAGTTAGTAGACACCTATTTCTGCATGCAATCAAATTGTCATATAAATATGGTATATAAATAAGTTACACCATACCAGACAGTTGTCTGTAGCTTATCTATTAAAAAGGAGGCAGGAGGGTCAAATGAAGAACAATATATATAAAAAATAGCAGGACAAAGACCATCATTCATTATGTCAAGACCCAATATTCCTGCATACATACCGAAGGTTGAAATGCTGTATTATTTGGACATAAGCTCCATTGAATTCAACGGGGCTTACTTCTAAATCAGATATGTACAGGATTGCACTGGAAATCAGTCTTCTTTATTTGTTACAGCTTTATTTATTATATCAACCACAGCATAATGAAAAGCAGATGCAAACAGATGCACAACATAGTATCCATCACCACGACAAACACATAGCATTTTAGCATGATGTGTATCAACAGGGATGTAGACATTGTTTTTAACAAAAATCTGCCTGACTTCAGTGGCAGTAGCAAAAGATAGAATTATGTAGCAAATGACAATTACTATTCCATCTATAGCCATTTATTTTATTATTTATTCAGCTATTATGGAGTTTCCCCCAGGTGGCATTGCTGCCAAACCATGGCATTCTAATCTCTCTCAAGTTATATTCCCATTATGAGGAATGGATGAAGGAGTTGGGTATGCTTTGCTTGGATAAGAGGAGACTGAGAGGAAATATGATAGCCTTCTTCAAACATCTTAAGGCCTATGACATGGAAGATGGAGCAAGTCCCCCCTCCCACCCGCTCTGGAGGGTAGGAGTCAAACCAATGGATTTAAGTTACAAGAAAGAAGATTCTGCCTCAACTTCAAAAATAACTTGTTGATGGTAAGAACTGTTCAACAGTGGAAGGGACACCCTCAGAGCAGTGACGGAAGAACCCTCTCCGGCACCCAGGGCAGGACGCCGAGGGGCGGGGCGAACTGCCCAGTGATGCACATGTGAAGTCCGTATGGACTGTGCATGTGCAGCATCCCGTATGGAGTGTGTACACTGCTTGCAACGACTGTATGGGCTGCCGCTTGCACAACGACCATACGGGCTGCCACGTGAGTGGCATCCCATACTGAGTGTGCATGTGGGGCATCTCGTATGGAGTGTGCATGTACGGCAGCCCATAATGTCGCCATGCGAGAGGCAGCCTGTACGGACGCTGCACGAGTGGCACCCATACTGACTGCGCATGCCCTCGGCCACTCTACAGCTGGGGGAGGCAGGAGTCATCTTGTCACCCCCTCCAGAGTGGCACCCGGGGTGACCTGCCCCCTCCGCCCCCCACTTCATACGCCCCTGCCTCAGAGAGTGGTGAACGCTACTTCTTTGGAGGTTTTCAAGCAGAGGTTGGATGGCTATGTGTCAGGGATGCTTTAGATGAAATTCTTTGAGATGCTTTTCATTCAGGGCCCTTTCCAAGTCTGCAATTCTCTGATTTCCATCCCCCCTGAGAATATTAAAAATCATCTTGCAGTGGAAGGTGATCTGCTTGGGAGTCCAAGGTTCCTAAATTATACGCCTAATAGGATAAGTATTGCATATGGTAACATATCCTCCTTTTGCTTTACCACAATGGGCTAGTTTTATTTTGAGACATCTGTTTGCTTCCTTGTGCAGCTTGAATAAGACTCTGGTAAGTAGTAGGGCAATGTGTTCTGAACAGGTTTTCCACCAGGGCATTGCTCCCAATGATCACATTTCTCTTCTCTTTCCTGTTCATGAAGTTCCACAGGTGCAAAGCGTAGGACTCGTCGAAGTCTGGCTTTGAATCCCACACTTCATAGTACTTATGCCACAGTGTGTAGGGGATGGGATAGAAGCGCTGGGGGTGCAAGAAGGAAATGTTGTGACATGTCTGATCCTCCACATTATTGAAATCTGTGAGGTTGCACAGCCTCTTTAGCACCCTTGTGATTAAGTGAGGTCCCTGATTTCCCCAGATGGCTCCGTTGTAGTGCTGAACAAAATCTACCATGCAGTCCCAGAGGAACCAGTGATGACGCTGAAAACCAAGGATCCCGTTGCTGGAGAACTGGGAAGACTGGGCTGCCAAGAAGTTGGCCACTGGGATGGGTCGGATGGAAATGACATCTGTGTCCATATAAATCCCACCATATTTCCACACCATTGCAAGCCTGATTGCATCAGAGATAATATAGACCCAGTTCTTCTCCTGTGTTGCATTCACCTGCAGGGTTAAAAATGGACACAGAATCAAGGGACAGCTCCTAGCTCCTAAGACATACTCCTTACTTCTTCCTTTCAATGCCTGTAATATTCCCACTACTGGAAGTTCAGGAATGCTTAGCCCTGTGGAGCAGCTCGGGTGTCACATGTATGTGATCCTAGGTTCAAATTCTGGATGTGACTTCCCACTAGAAAAGACCTCACCTCTATGCAGGCATATCTGAGAAAGTGTAGGGCCTGAACGTATCAGTGGGTTCACTGCATCAATCAGTATCTCAGCTCCTACAGAGGCCGCTTAACCTGTGGGTGAGAGCAGAGTCCAGTGGTAGACCACAGACATCATGTTTTGCCTGTTGAACACCCCAGGTTTAATTCCCACTATATCCAGTTCAAATGATCAGGTAGGTGATGAGCAAAACTTCTGCCTGAGACCCTGGAGAGCTGCTGCCAGTCAAACAATACTGAGCTGCATTGGCATATATTTAGTGTAAAAGGAAAACATCAATTTTTAACATGCTGAATAGTACTACACTGGTACCTCTGGTTACAAACTTAATTTGTTCCGGAGGTCTGTTCTTAACCTGAAACTGTTCTTAACCTGAGGTACCACTTTAGCTAATGGGGCCTCCCACTGCCGCTGCACCGCCACCACACGATTTCTGTTCTCATCCTGAGGCAAAGTTCTTAACCTGAGGTACTATTTCTGGGTTAGCGAAGTCTGTAACCTGAAGCATCTGTAACCCGAGGTACCACTGTAGCCAGTTTATTCAGAATTTCTGGAAAACAGAAATTGTGAATTTGAAACTCTGAAGCCCAATGCAAGTGTAACATATGATGGTGTGTTCTTTTTCATCATATTGACTCTCTCTTCTGAATTCTCCCCACTACCTGGGCTGATTGTCATGCATGGTGATTACTAATACTGTGCTGTATACGGTAAAATGATACCAAAGGATATAATAAAACATGCTTTGAAGTTGCATCTTCGCCAAACATTACTAAATTTAAGCATACAATGACATTTCAGTGTCTTGGTAGGAAAAGGCAGTTAACATTTTCTTTTCCTTTGCACTGATAAAGCCACCAGTAAACAGTTTGTATTTTTTAAAAAGGGAGATTGATATTTGTCACCAAAAATATTTTGCAACTAACTTTGCAATTAATGCATCCCACCAGAAAATGATACCTCTTTCTCTCTCACCTGATGGTACCACTGGAACAGAGGTGTGTCCTGGAACAAAATGTCCATCTCCAGGGGGAAAAGGAAAACATTCTTCATAGCCGATAAGAAAGACAGCGAAGGGGAAGTCAACTTGAAATCTATCATTGTGCTATTGTTCAGCCCTTGCATAAAAAAAATGATGGGTCTGTCTGAATAGATTCTAGCAGCAGATTCCACAGAGCATAAAACCAGTGGTGGAGGCTGCAGATGATCAGTTGTCTCCAGAAAGATGATACTTCTCCCCTGGGAGAGGACATCTTGGGGTATCACAAGTTGTTTAGCAACAGGTTTGCAGGAAAAGAAGCAACCAGGTTCTAGGGAGAACTCATACAATATCCCAAATGCAAGCAAAAAGAAGATACATAGGTACACCTGGCTCTCCTTCAGCATGTTGACTGATTCTCCAACTTTTGATCTTAATAAAAACATAATAAATATTAGTCGTACTCTTCTTCACACACACACACACACACACACACACACACACACTTGTTGCACTCTTGCTTTTCAAAACCTTAACAACAGGTGATCACCATCCTTCTCAGCAGAAGGTTGTGCCCTATTAACAGATTCTGTAGGGTTGCAATGGAGATGTGGGATGAGGAGCCTTGTTTACAGCATGAATGAATTCTTTCAGTCTCCTAGAAAAATATATGGTTAAAAAGAATGGTTCAAGCAGGGGTGTGAAAGCTGTGGCCCTCCAAATGTTGTTGGACTCTTGCCAGCCTCAGTCAAACATGGCCAATGGCCAGGAATGAAGGATGTTGTAATCCGGCACCATCTGAAGGCCCCCAGCTTCATCAACCCTGGGTTAGTGGTTGACAATACAATCCTATATGTCTCATTATTTTCAGTGGAGCTTACTCCCAAGTAAGTGTATATAAGATTGCAGCTTGCATTTGGGGGGATTTTCCTTTCCCATCCCATCCCATCCAATTTCTAAGGGTGCAAAGCCACTCACTATACATGCAGACCATGGCAAAAGATCTGAAATCCAGCAAAAATCCTGGAAAAGACCTGCAAATTCTTGGGAGATAATTAGCAGGATGCAGCAGCGTTATTCATGGTAAAACTCAAAAAATAAATATAGATGTCCTCTTACCACCATTTCCTAGATTCCCTTACCTGCCTAAGGGGATTTTTTTCCTGGGCCACTTAAAGAACCCTCCTCATATTGCTGAGTAGACTCCATTGCTACTGCTGAATTCAGTGTTCCCAGTGGGGCTGCATTCAGAAAATGAACCAAAGTCTGAATTGATTCCCCTCCCAAGCACCAGGCTTTCTCCTCTGTTGCAGACAGGATGCTGATGGGATAAAATTATTTACGGGAGCTCTTTCTTTTCTATCGGTGATTAGTGTCTCTGTCCTAATATGGAAGCAGAAATGAGGTGAATAGAAAGCCCATGTCAGGTCTCTGCTGCAGCAATATCAGAGATGGATGGCAGATGAATAAAATTATTTCGTAATTGTTCAAAGTTAGAAAGAAAAACAAAATGCCGTCCTCCAATTTTGGGAAGGTAATACAGTTTTCAGGAGAAAATGAATGTCCCTTCTTCCCAAACTCTGATGTGCTGAGATTGTGTCAGCCAGCTTGCTTGTGCGGCTATTTTGAGACTGTCCTGAACGAGCCATAGATCATCATAAGCCCAATGTCTTCAACAGATGCCCTACAGTACTTTAGGCCAGCTGTGTCTGCAGGAGACTTCAGGAAAGGTAGCAGCTGGGATTCATATAGGTTAGCATCTTGGGTGTTGCTCCATGTCTTCAGCCTCAGCTCCTCAGAAACTCGAGACTTTATTGAATTCAGTTGCAATCTCTCCAAACATGTCTGACTGATTAAAAAAAATAAAATTCAAAAGGTAGCACCCTCTCTATGTTGGTACCTTGGAACACCCTCTAGTTTGCAAAAGACAAGGAATGGCTGTTCTGTCTTTCCCACAACATCCATCTTTTCCATCCAGAAGATCATTTTTGCCGTCAAAGGGGTTGGAACTGATTAAGCACTGCTCCTTCTGCAGAGAAGATCTATTTATCATTGCAAGACAAGTGGCTGAGTGGAGTTTGCAAAGCTCTCCTCAGCCAAGATGCTGATCTCAGTGCTGGCTGCTTAATAAATGTTATCCACTCCTTCTCGGCTTTGCCTATCACAGTAGAAACTTTCAGCTGCAATGCTTCATCCAACAGCACTGGAGTCGTTTCAAGCGATGAGCTGTCGGAAGAAGGCTGCAGACTCTAAACAGCATGAATAATTTAATATTCTCGGAAGCATCTGATTGTCATTAAAGCATCATTTTGGGGAAGGAAAGGCCTGTTCAAAAGGTGTGTCAGGGTAATTTTGCAGATTAATCCCTTTTCAGTGAATATTCACTACTCTGCTATACTCAAAATCAGGATGCTAAAGAGAAGTGAGATAAATTATCATTTTCTTCCAGTGCATATTTGCATGTGCTTCTTTTACTCTCTTTTAGGGCGTGTGGGATGTTGTCTTAAGGAAAACATGCTTGGAACCATCATTGGCAGCTTTTAGGTGCCTGGGTTTTTGCCCAGACTTTTGGTCATTCACTTGGAATGTAGTGCCGTAAGGCTTTTGACCTGTTTCGTGGAGTTCATTATTATTATTATAATTATTGTTGATGGAGAGCATTTTGAAATATTGTTCTGTTATATTTCTTCTGTAGGTATGGTTTTTAAATGATTGCCAAACTGTGTGGTATTTTATGGATTCGTAAATCACTTTGAGACATTTTCTTGTGGAATATGATGCAGAAATGCAATATCAGGGATGTGAAACCTATGGTTTTCCAGATGTTGCTGGACTCAGACATTGACATGGATGCGACAGAAAAGGAACTTATTTCCATTTATGGTGGGAGTGCTCACACTTATAAGCATTTTGGATAGCGAGACATACAGAAATGGGGGAAGAATACTGCAAAAATCAATTCATTGTACTCCAGAACTTTTTTTTTGGGGGGGGAGGGGAAATCAAGGATTAAACAAGGATATTTTATCTGTTAACATTTTTATTAATTGCCACTAGTCCGTCTAATTGGAAGGAATTAGAAAATCTGTCTATACAATCTTCGTATAAGAACGTCTTGTTTATTGAAATCTCTGCAAAGATAACATTCAACTTAAAGCTGCAACAGGGTAAAGCAAAACCATTTCAGTATCCCTTTATCATAGACCAAAACATGTGCATCTCTCTGTCAGAAACAGCCAAATCTATATGGACTTCATAATCATGCACACATGGTGATTGTCCAACTTCCTTTTTGTTATTGGTGCAGTTGAGTCATAACCATACAATTTTTAAAATTAAAAATAATAATAATTGAGAGGACATTTATAATGATACTGCATTACGTGCTCACCTACACCAATGTTTCAGTCGATAAGCTTGGTTATATGTTTACTCTTTTCTTTATATTTGTATTCTTATCTTGAAAATCAATGTGTGTGTGTAATTCAAGCCAATTACTTTTTTCTTCAATTTGCTTTATGAAAGCCAGATACGGAAGTACATGTTGCAACATCCTGCCAAACTCTCAAATTTCTCCAACGTGTTCTGTGAAAAAGGATTTCCATTTTTCTGCCTCATTTTTGGGGCATTTCATAATTTCTTTCGTGGGGGTGGGGTCTTGTTCTTCCCTTATCACCGCTAGTTGGCCAAGGGTTCTCTTTCTTATAAGCATGGTTTATAAGCTCTGCAGTATGCAGGGTCCTTTTATGATACTCAAAGCCATGCCTCTTCACACTCACATGCAGCTTTCTAAGATTATACAATGATCTTACCATTTTACAATAATAATAATAATTAGGACTGCATTGCAACAATTAATGCAGACCTCCATGTGTTGCCTTTGAAGTAGATAATTTCTGAGAACATGCATGGACACATGATTTGGACTGCCCAACTACCTTCTTTTGAGCTGACTTGTGTTTTCCATGATGTTCCATTGTACACAACTGAACTTGCACACCATTCTCTTGAAACTGAAGCACATTGTAAAAAAATAGAAGCATAACCACCCAGCCACACCCTACTTTCCATTTCCCCCTCTTTCCCCCTCTTTTCTTCCTAACCAAATAATGATAATAATAAAGATAGGAAGCTTTAAACAGAACAGAGCTGAGTAGTTCTATCCTGTTTCCATTTGCTGTTTTTATTGAATCCATCCAATCCACTTGGTTTATTTAAACCAAGGACTTGTACATTGACCACTAATAATGAAACCTAGGTTGTAGATATTATTGCAAATTTATTATGCTGTTTTTGCAATGTACAAGAAGACTTGGTCTTTTTAATTATACCATTTATTATTTCTATGATCCTTGTTTATAAAATCTAATAAAAACAAAAAACAAAACTGAGGCACATTGTGTTTTCAGTGCTTCTGAATGCTTAGCTTTGGAGCATACCATGGCTGAAAAGCTCCTCTTTGGTGTTGATTGGGCAGATCTAGGATCTAGAATAGGGACCCTATTGCAGAAACAGCAACAGGTCTTCAACCCCCTGCAACACTGGACCACAACACCACTGCACAGGATGTCTTCCCCCAGGGCTTAACTGAAGCATGGGAAGCCTGCAGAGTGCAGAACACTGATGAGATTATAGAATGAAAGAAAAGACACACACACACACACACAACCTTTGACCACCTTGGAAGTGAAGTAAGCATGGAAGAAACCATGAGAATGTAACTGATTCCCCACCCCATCCTCTTTGATCATTTTTGAATGCAATTTCTCTTCTTACTAATTAATGAAGAATGGTTGAAAAGATGCAATAAATTTTCAGCACAACACTAATTTAATGTTATTGGGAAGCTGATCACCAGTCCCAAGGTTTAGGTAATTGCATGTGCATATCCAAATGTGTACTGTTAAACTATGATACGATATGGTAATCTTTATTGTCATTGTCCCATACAGAACAATGAAATTGAAAAAATCTACATCAGACATTCAGAAGTCAACAAGCCAGCTATCCCAGCCTGGTTAAGCCCCTAAAAGCTCTGATACCCCATAATTAAATACAATATACTCCTAGAGAGACTACCTTACACTGCATTTAAAACCAAAATCGCATTTGGATAAAAACTTTCTCAGGCAGCTAGTCCTAGTCTTTATAACCCTATACCTTCTTCCAGAAGGCAGAAGCTGAAAGAGATTATTTCCGGGGTGCGTACTATCCTGCACTATCTTCAGCTTTCTTATGACACCTGGAAGCATAGACTAGCTTACAGCTCCAAAATCTGAATACCTTTTTCTTGGAACATGGCACATATTAACTATAGACCTAGTAGTGCTTAACACCCCTTTGTGGTAGGCATATTTCACGTCTTTGATTATACTGTCTTTTTATGCAACTTCAATGTATTACACTAAAGCTGCAATCTGATGCACACTTTCTCATTGGGAGTGAGTCTCAATGAACTCAGTGGGACTTCTCTGTAAGCATAAATAGGATGTTGCTATTTATATATTTGTTTATTCCTACAAGTATTATTTCAGAAAATAAAATGGTTCCTTCCTTCCATTTTCTGTTGAAAGAGATCAAAACATTTCTGCTTTTGTCACAGCATGCTCAGACCTTTATGCACCCTCTTGAAATGGCCACATTCATTGTCAGAGAATAATGCACTTGCCCTGAGACTCAAACCACTCAACAGAAAGACCCAATTTCTCTCTCTAAAAAATAAAAAATATTATGTGATGGGTAATCAAAATCCATCTTTTTCCATATTAATAAATATAAACCAAAGTAATTAATTTCCCATCTATATTTCTCATTGTTCTTGTTGTTTAATTTTCGTATGATGCATTTCAAAATAAATGAGAACTTACCAGCAAAACATGGAAAAGCAGAAGATTCTTCAGCAAGCAATGGTTAGACTTGGGTGCACATATATGGTGAAGAAGTTGCAGGAGAACTTTTCATATCCAGGACATGCACCACTGTTTCTGACTTCTAATGCAGCAACCCTAGAGGTGATATTTGCACATTACTTGCCCTGAGATAGGCAGAGGAAACAAATGCTTTTTTTAAAGAAGGAAAAAATCGTACAGGTAGGGAAGAAATAAAACTGCCAAGACATGTACAGTGTAGTAATAAGAGCTTGCCAGCAGAAAGCAGCAGACAAACACTTTGGAATGATAATAAGAACATAATAAAGTAGCAATGTACTGGGAATAGCATAAAGGCTCAGGTGGAACAATACAATCTGCAAGATTAACATATAAGAGATAGCTCATTTTCTTCAGTGTTCTGGAGTGGGTGCTTAGATACAGTAGGTTGAATCCAGACCAAGCAGGTGGTGTTTTGTTACCACTAAAATCAATGGGACTTAAGTTATTCATGAATAACTCTTTATATTGATTTCAATAGGACTTGTGCACGTTACAGTGCAATCTAACAATATTTGCTCAGGTCCTATTGAATCCAATGGGTCTAATTTCCAGGTAAGTGGGGTTAGGATTGCATCCTTAGTGTGGATCCAACCCAGTATACACATGTTATCTCCTCATCACCAATCCTTTGCTGAACGCATTGTGAAGGAGAGATTCTTTAATGTAACTCCTTTCTCAGCCTCCTTGGAGGGTGATGCTGTGGTGCTCAGAAAAGGATATATTATATACAGTGATACATCGGGTTACATACGCTTCAGGTTACATACGCTTCAGGTTACAGACTCCGCTAACCCACAAATATTACCTCGGGTTAAGAACTTTGCTTCAGGATGAGAACAGAAATTGTGCAGCGGCGGGGCCCGGCAGCAAGAGGCCCCATTAGCTAAAGTGGTGCTTCAGGTTAAGAACAGTTTCAGGTTAAGAACAGACCTCCGGAATGAATTAAGTTCTTAACCCGAGGTACCACTGTACTGAACTCGCCATTTCTTTCATTGGATGCTGTCAATGGGGGCGGGGACGAGAGGAAAATATTTCAATGGGAGGGGGGAGGACATAACCCAACTGCACTAGAAACAATAGGTATCTGTGGCATGTCTCTTGGAATGATTCCACCAGGTGCCTCCATGTCAAGAGATCTCACAATGATATATGCAGCTCTCTTATAGACCATCTTTTGAACCAAAGTTAAACTGCTGGATAGTTGCTGGTCACAGGGAGGATCTACTAGCAAGATTCATGGAGTGGACGACCCATTCTTCTGAAACATATTCACTGTGGACGTCTATGTGCAACACACATGGCTACTGGGGGAATAACTTATGAAGGGGGCTAGAGTGTATCAATGATCTTGTGGGTTTCCCTAGTTAGATTGCTGGAATGAGAGGCCTAGTTTCAAATCCCTCATCAGGCATGAACTCCTTGGGTGATATTGGGCAAGTCACTGCCTTAATTGCTTTGATAATTTTCAAAGGGAATTTCTTTCCTCATTAATTGTCGGAGAACACTTTACAAAAAGGTGGGAGGATTTTTAATTTTTTTGACACAGAACTAATTATATCAAATAATTGCAAGCTTGTTGTGGTGTCAAGCAAGCCAAATGCAGCATAATACAACCCTCATATTCCTGTGTGTAAGAGAGGCTCAGATACCAATTTACGTGGCCTGTTGAGACAACATTACCAGCCCACAAGCTTGCCATGTGATAAGATTTCTTCCATTCACAGGTAATCCATTCATATTGCAACAAAGCTCTTTTCATTAAATCTTATCTTTGCTGTGATAACCAATTAAATAACCAAGCATGTGCACTTAATGGTTATGTTATTTACAAGCATTAGATGGCAAATATAACAGTAAGAAATGGTGCCTAGCCTTCTAAGAAGTGAGACCCGTAACCCAATTTTGCCTTACAGACTCTGCATGTTCAGAGCCAGGCAACTCCCACTTCTCCCTTCATCCTCATTTTCTCTCTGTCCTCTCTGGGTTGTTTTGGCTCCCCCGAGCTTTCTGATACCTCTGTCTTGTGCACAGATGGTGCCATTTTGGCTACATAAGATTTGGCACTTGGAGAATGAGTTATTTGTACATAGTGGTAGTTATTGCTCTTTAGGACTCACAGGGCAGAAGGCAGGTAGACCAATAGTAGGTGAAGCCAGAGCCAACGAGAGCCAGAGCCAACTCACTCTAGTTTTGTCTCCATCTTACTTGTTCCTCTTCTGCAAGAGCAAAACTGAGGCTGAAGAGGAGGAAGGTGACCTGTAGTGCCACTCCCTGAACTGGTGGTAAGAAGGAAAGGAGGTACGAGGCAACCCTGTGCTAGAATAGGTAGCTGTGGTTTTCTAGGAGTGAGCAGGCTCTCACATCCTGATAATTCAGCCTGTATATCCCATTCTTCCACCCTGATAGCTACAAAGCTCTATTTCAAAGCATATTTTGGTCAAAATTTCACAGTAGTGAGAAGGTACCCGTGGCATGTGGTCAGTGGCCTAGGGGGACTAGGCTTGTTCCCAAAATGTTCCTGGTAAATTAGAGTATTAAAGTATGGGGGCACCTCCTTCCCAAAGCCAAGGAAGCTTCTGTCCAGCTTAGGGAGGGAGGTGCAATGCTCACACATGCAACGTCAACAGAATGCCCCGATTGCCTTGGTGCCCCTGGCCCTAACTGTTCCTCTATTTAAAAATATTACTGCACACCACTGAGGAGCAGAGCCATTTTAGGAGCAGAGCCAAGATGAATGGGGTGGATCGGGGCTAGAGCCAGAGCAAATCTTGGTGACATGACTTATGGGTGAAATCTGATAGAAGTTGCTGGATCATGTGTGCTGCCTGTCAGAATCTGAAGTTTACTGGCTTCTCAGAACCCAGTGCTGTTTATCTGACAGAACAGTTTACTGGCCAGACTAGTAAAGTTGGCAACCTTGCACTATCCAGGATGCTCCAGTATCGGGACCTGACTGAAGCTAAATAAATCTGGTTTTATTCAGATGTTGGCCACTGTATAGGTAGGTAGTGGGTGTTTTCTGGAAGAGAGCTGGCTGAAACATCATGTGTTGTAGAATATTTCCATGTTTGCTTTCAACATGAGACAGATCCTGTTGCAAAAAAACACCTAAAGGATGTAGGACTTCTTAACGCAGCCAAGCATAACAGGGCAAACATATACTATGATATGATATCTAGAAGTTTTACGCCTAATGGATAAATAATAATGGCACAGGGATTATGCAACAACAGTTCAGTTAATATTATATGTTACAAATATTGTATTAAGAGGTGTGGCATAGATCGGGCATCATTATTCCCCATAACATGTTTGTAATGTGAACCTCTCTACATAATCAAGAAAAGAGGCAGATTGATTCTTCCCAACTCTGGCTAAGAAAAAGACAGAAGAATAAATTGACACCAAGCACATTATTGTCCTATAGGTAAAGGTAAAGGTACCCCTGCCCGTACGGGCCAGTCTTGACAGACTCTAGGGTTGTGCACCCATCTCACTTAAGAGGCCGGGGGCCAGCGCTGTCCGGAGACACTTCCGGGTCACGTGGCCAGCGTGACAAAGCTGCATCTGGCGAGCCAGCGCAGCACACGGAAATGCCGTTTACCTTCCCGCCAGTAAGCGGTCCCTATTTATCTACTTGCACCCGGGGGTGCTTTCGAACTGCTAGGTTGGCAGGTGCTGGGACCGAGCAACGGGAGCGCACCCCGCCGTGGGGATTCGAACCGCCGACCTTTCGATCGGCAAGCCCTAGGCGCTGAGGCTTTTACCCACAGCGCCACCCGCGTCCCCATTTTTATTGTCCTATACACAGAGATAAATAGAAGGGCAGGAGGAAACATGGGACATCATATTGGTACAATGCATGCTAAGATCTCCAGTGAAGATCGTATGTAGTTCGTTAATGCATACCTATACAATTTATAACATTGCATGTGCTGTGCTTAATCTGCCTCTGTTTTTACACTCCAGACAGGAAGCAAAACCAGGATGTTTATAGCGCCCAGGACAGCCTGCCCATACATGGGTATTGTGCTGTATTTGGCTTGGCATATCACAAACTGAGCAGGCCTCCAGTGATGGGTAAGGTACAGTGTGTGTGTGTGTGTGGAAAATTACACTCCCAAATCATTACACACCAGAAGACCTTGATAGGTTATGAGCTTTATCCACACTCTGAGATACATTATAATGACAGGCTCTCTCTAGTCGGCAGCTTCTTCCAATCCTGAGATCACTTTGGTAAGATGCCGGTGCTGTAGAGTTGCATATATGGTTGGATGTAATAGTCCAGGAACTGCCACACAGGCCGCTGATATGCCTCTGTCACTGTGTGATTGGAAAGGCAGGCGGTGAGGATGAAGACAGTGACTAGCAGGACGGTCAAGACAATCACCAGCAGGACACCAGCAAAGTGCCACAAGCCTATCAAGACCCAGGTGATCTTTGTCCTGTGAAATAAGAAAAGAGAGGCCTGCAGTTTATAAAGACAAGGCAGGGTGACATTGTCCTCCCTTGGTCCCAAGTGACAATCTGTTGATGGGGCAAAATGAGCACATAAGCAGCTTCCAAAAGGTTGTCACTCAGACCAGAGAGAACTTTGGGCTTTTAATGAAGGAGAATTGACTCCAAGGGTTTTTAGGAAGTGACACTAAAAGCACCACTGTGGGGCCCTTTCGTATTATCTGAGCACATTATGATTGCTGGTTTTGTAATGCGTTTAACTGGAAGAAATCCATTTTGGCTGAAAATGAAGATACAGTGGTGCCTCGCAAGACGAAATTAATTCGTTCCGCAAGTTTTTTCTTCTTGCGAGTTTTTCGTCTTGCGAAGCACGGTTTCCCATAGGAATGCATTGAAAATCAATTAATGCGTTCCTAGGGAAACCGCTTGCCAGGCTGGCGGTGCGGAGAAGGGCTTTTCTCCCCACCGCAAGCCTTCAGCACAGGTACGGGAACAGAGGGGAAGGCGTGCAGCGCTTTCCCTCTGTTCCCGGGGCTTGCGTGGGAGGAGGGTTTTTCCTCCCCACCGCCAACATTCAGAACAGCATTCTGAATGTTGGCGGTGGGAAGGAAAACCCTTCTCCCACCCCAAGTCTTCAGGACAGCCATCCGAAGGCTGGCGCGGGGAGAAGGTCTCTCCGCCCCCCCCCCACGCCAGGCTTCGGTGCATCCTTCAGAGGCTGCTGCCATAGTCACGCGTCACTTCTCCAGCTGGGAGAGGGTCGCGGGGCTATGGCTTCTTTAGCCCCGCGCGCGCTCTCCCGGCTGGAGAGGTGACGCTCGGCTATGGAGGCTCCTGCCATAGGCGCGCGTCACCTGGGAGAGGGTCGCGGGGGGCTGCTTTAGCCCCGCGCGCGCTCTCCCGGCTGGAGAGGTGACGGGCGCCTATGGAGGCTCCTGCCATAGGCGCGCGTCACTTCTCCAGCCGGGAGAGGGTCGCGGGGGGCTGGTTTAGCCCCGCGCGCACTCTCCTGGCTGGAGAGGTGACGGGCGCCTATGGAGGTTCCTGCCATAGGCGCGCGTCACATCTCCAGCTGGGAGAGGGTCGCGGGGGGTTTCTTTAGCCCCCCGCGCGCTCTCCCGGTTGGAGAGGTGACGCGCACCTATGGAGGCTCCTGCCATAGGCGCACGTCACCTGGGAGAGGGTCGCGGGGGGCTGCTTTAGCCCCACGCGCGCGCTCTCCCAGCTGGAGAGGTGGCGCTCGGCTATGGAGGCTCCTGCCATAGGCGCGCGTCACCTGGGAGAGGGTCGCGGGGGGCTGGTTTAGCCCCGCGCGCGCTCTCCCGGCTGGAGAGGTGACGGGCGCCTATGGAGGTTCCTGCCATAGGCGCGCGTCACATCTCCAGCCGGGAGAGGGTCGCGGGGGGTTTCTTTAGCCCCACGCGCGCTCTCCCGGTTGGAGAGGTGACGCGCACCTATGGAGGCTCCTGCCATAGGCGCGCGTCACCTGGGAGAGGGTCGCGGGGGGCTGCTTTAGCCCCACGCGCTCGCTTTCCCAGCTGGAGAGGTGACGCTCGGCTATGGAGGCTCCTGCCATAGGCGCGCGTCACCTGGGAGAGGGTCGTGGGGGGCTGGTTTAGCCCCGCGCGCGCTCTCCCGGCTGGAGAGGTGACGGGCGCCTATGGAGGTTCCTGCCATAGGCGCGCGTCACTTCTCCAGCTGGGAGAGGGTCGCGGGGGGCTGGTTTAGCCCCGCGCGCGCTCTCCCAGCTGGAGAGGTGACGGGCGCCTATGGAGGCTCCTGCCATAGGCGCGCGTCACTTCTCCAGCCGGGAGAGGGTCGCGGGGGGCTGGTTTAGCCCCGCGTGCGCTCTCCCGGCCATTCAAGCCAATCAAGGTTGACATTGCATTCCAATTACAGATGAGGAAAATGCAACACAAACACCATTATTTAAACAGCTAATACCACAATAGCCTAAGAGGCAATGGACCATTCAATTCCTTCCTATCTGTATGGTTCCATGGCTAGTATGTTTGACTTGAATGTGACAGAATCCTGTTCAAATCCCTACAACAATAAAGCTCTTTGAAAGGGTTTAGACCAAGTCAGTATTCTGTACCCAAGCCTTCTTCACTGGAAGCTGGAAATGATAATTGTTAAGTACTTCAGAACACGCTTCAGAGATTATGAACAATATGCTTTGCTGCTTCACCCATCCCTGTACCTTCCATGCCCAGTTACATGCCTGCTTGTACACATCTCCTTTTAGTTTGACAGTGTCTCCCTTTTTACCTTGAATGGGCCTGATTTGTAGAAGATGCTAAATAGCATGCCTAGGAAAACCAGGTGGACAGGGCTGGTCACACCTAATAATACCTTCCATGTACCTTGCTCATTTGTTGTACCTATTAATTGTCAGGAGCTCATCCTACACTTGAGTAGGACCCTGGTAGAGACACATGCCTGACTGGCATGTTCTCTCCCTCCTGGTCTTTCTTTCTTTCTTTCGTTTTTAAATGATATTTAAACACTACAGACAAAAAAAAAGAAAAAGAAAAGGAAAAGAACAATACAAATACAGTACAAAAACACTACATAACACCAACATATTAAACTTAACAAAACAAAAACAAACAAAAACAGTTTAAAAACACCTCAAACATTTTCAATATCTTATCTTTCATTCGCTTATTTCCAACAACCTCCTCACACCTCCCTTTTTGTATTCCACTTCTATTAATTGTTTCAGCAATTCCTTTCCATCTTCCTCTATTTTCTATCCTATAATTATCTTAACACATTCTTGCCTTATTTTTTTCTTTATAACATTTCTACTAAAGCCATATAACTTCATTCCAACATTTTTCTAACATTCATTAATTTTACAATATTTCTATAAATAGTCTTTAAACTTTTTCCAGTCTTCTTCCACCGACTCTTCTCCCTGGTCTCGGATCTTGCCAGTCATTTCTGCCAATTCCATATACAGTGGTGCCCCACAAGACGAATGCCTCGCAGGATGAAAAACCCACTAGACGAAAGGGTTTTCCGTTTTTGAGTTGCTTCGCAAGACGATTTTCCCTATGGGCTTGCTTCGCAAGACGGAAACGTCTTGCGAGTCTTGCGATTTTTTTCGCTCCCCCCTTTTTCTAAGCCACTAAGCCGCTAATAGCCTTTTAACCGCTAAGCCGCTAAGCCTTTAATAGCCGCTAAGCCGCTAAGCCGCTAATAGTGCTAATCCGCTAAGTCGCTAATAGGGTTGCTTCGCAAGACGAAAAAACCGCTAGACAAAGAGACTCGCGGAATGGATTATTTTCGTCTTGCGAAGCACCACTGTAGTCCATCAACTTCATCTGCCATCATCCAATACTTCAGTGCTTTCAAGAAGCAGCCATTCTCTCAGCCAGCAAAAAGCAGATGGTTCAGAACAAAGTTTAAGGGTCTGGCAGGGCAAGTCCACCTCCTTCTTTGGCATCCGTCAATATCTTAAATTTTACTTGAGGCTTCCTGCCCTGCCAAACAAATCTAGAGACATCCCTCTGCCACCTCCTGAAACAATCCATCCCATCCAAAGCTTGCAATGTTTGAAACAAAAGCAACATCCCCGGCAACACAGCAACCCTCATCCCCACCACAGCAACTCAGCCCAACAATAACAACTTCAGATTTGTCCATATTTCCCAATACCCCTTCTCTTCAATCCAACGTCCTTCACAGTTATCCTTATATAGATTCACATTTTTGGCGGTCATACTAACCCCCAAATACCTCTCTTTCTCAACCAATGTTAGTTCTGTCTCCTCCTGAGACTCTGTCAAGCTTTCCTTTTCCAATTCAGGTAGGGCTCTGGTCCTCAAATTCGTCTGTTTTTCTTTAGGTTCAATCATAACAAATGTCAGCTTATGTTCATCAAGTTGTCTTTGAATGGATGGGACTCTCTCTCTCTCCAGTTGTATTGCTTTACATTCAGCAGCAAGGGTTTTCTCCCTGACTTCATCCGCAGTTTGCCGTATCAAAGTAGATTCCTGTATCAATTTCTGGATGGTTTCTGTATTGGTGTTCACCTTTTGTCCCAGATTATTTAAACTTTCTACAATTAAGTCGATTTTAATATTTGCAGCATCCACTTTCACATTTATCACGTCTGTTTTCTTGTGAAGCTGTTCCAGCGAATCATTTATTTTCACTAATGCGACCACTAAGGCCTCTTCTGTCGACAATCCGTCTGTTTTTTCCTTTCCATTTGCCATAACACTTAAGAGATTCAAGGTCAATCCCAGAGTCTCACAATTTTTTATCTTGCAGCTGGAAATTCCCCTAGCCCAGCTCCTGTAAGGCAACCAATTTCAAAAGCTTCCACTAGGGGAAACAGTTTCTATTTGTATTAGTCAGTAAAGTCCTCTTTTAAACACAGTTCCAATAATCCAAAGTTAGTTTCAGTTTTCAGTTACTTTTACTCCTTTTTTTAAAAAAAACAACAGCCGGAGACAGTAGAAACAATGTATTCTCTTGTTTAGCTACCTGTCAATGAACGTTCTAAACGCTGTCAATGAACATTCCAAAAGACATCAATCCTGCTAGCAGCCCGTTTCCAGGGTCAGAGCGGCAGTATTTTAACTCTCTTGACTCTCTCCTACAGGCATATTCAGTCCACCACTTCCCCCCCTCTTCTCCTGTCTCCGGGGGTGGGGTGGGGGTTGTTTAATGTTCTTTGCCGATGGAGATTTAGTCTTTTACAAAAGGCTTTCCAAGACTTCAGCTTGCAGCCTCATTGCTTCAGTTTATTTACAAAAGGGGGAGGCGGACTTCCTGTATTGAACCTCCCCGTTTCGATACCAAATTAAATGTTTAAAAATCCAATTCTCCCACTTCAGCTCTACTCACGGGTAATTACTTTGGAGTCAAATTGTCCACAGGAAAAAGTCAGTGCTCTCCGGCAACAGCTATGCGGCTTCACTCCGTGGAAGAAGCAGACGATTCGAAGCACCGTGCCGCTCACCCCACGTCGCTCCGGATCCCCGAAACTGGGTTTCCCCGCGAGTAGGTGAGGCGCAAAAGGTGCCCGCCGAATCCCACGTTCACAGGCTTCTCCCACCTGTGATTTTTATGGGTCTCCGCCTTCGCCATGGCGGTACACACCCAAATTCCCACGGGGCGAATTCCTCCCGATCAGAGGAATTCTGCCATTCCGGAGGCACCAACCCGGAAGTCCCCTCCTGGTCTTTCATTCAGGAGCTTCAAAAGCTTTCTTCAGCCCGAACATCACAGCGACCGATGCCAACAAACACCAGCACACTTAGGGATCTGCAGAGTCTTTGCAGCTTGCGTAACAGACCTCAGCAACTCAGCATTTTGGCTAATCTACTTTATTTACATATAAACACACACAGAGCACTGCAACATGGCTCCCTCTCTCTCTAGCATCAGACAACAAAGAGAAAAAGCACAAAGGACAATAGTCCCGCTTCACAGAACACAGTAACACAAACATCCTGTCTCCGTCACTTCCCACTCTGTGGAGTCAAAACATACACCATCATGTGATAGACAACAATCCCATGACTGCAATCATGGAGCAGGAATTCTAACATTAATTACTCCACATCAGAAAATGGACAGTTTCAATATTAGATAACCATTGGGAAAAACACACATCAGTACTTCTTCCACATATCTTGATGGGTGGAAGGAAGTCATTGTTATTTATTTGCATTGTCTGCATTCATATGTACTTTTCAATGCCCTCTGTTTAGCATCTGGAGTTTCTTCTTCTCTTATTCCTTTTTGCCAGTGGTATTTTCACAGTTTTGTGGTTAATGAAGGTTTCCAAACCTGTATCAGAATCTTGCTGGGTTTGTTAAGTCCTAGCATTGTTTGGAACAGGCAATACTTCCATGGATCAAAGGTAAAACCCACCTCTGGATTCTGGTTATTTTATGGAATTTGATACCATAACCAGTTAATCATAGAGTTATGAAAATCCAAGCAGAAGTCTCACACAGTCTCACCATAAATAATGGGGACCAACTCCCACTTCCCAAAGTAATATGACTATATGAAATATAAGCCAGAGGTTATTGCTGCAAATGTCTGCATTGTTATACATTTATGGGTGCGTGTTTTTAAAAAGTGAGAAGGCGGTGACAAATAGTAAACATTTTCTTCACTAACCTACCACCACAAAGCTGTTTCTTCACAAATTTCTCTTCTCTTCGCATTTTTTCTTCCTGTAGTTAAAAAGAAAGTTGGAAAAAGTTACCCCTCCAACACATATACGCTTGTACAGGTAGTAGTAAATGAACAAGGAACTCAAAGCAGTTCATTACTGGGAGTTTTCAAGTTCTAAATTGTGTGACTCTCCAAAGTGAAGTGAGGAAAATGGAACTGGCTAGCCGTGCAATTTCTCTGTCGCTAGAATACCCATGCTGCCAAATTAAAACCACAAACTTCTCCCACCATGCCAGCTGTTGTGAGGCAAGCCCAAGTTTGCACTACAGCAGTTAGAACAGCACCTATGGCTATTTTAACCGCTTGTGATGAGCAATATATAATAAGAACCGCCCTTTCTGAATCAACCCAAAGGCCTATTTAGTCCAGCACTGTGTTTCCTAAAGTGGCCAGTGAGATTCCTTACCACTGTTATTTCTCAGCCACTGGCATTCAGAGACATGCTGCCTCAAATGCTGCAGATAGCATATAACCAGTATGCTAGTAAAACAGCAAAAGTGCCACACCTATGCTTGGGAGGGAGGCATTATTGAAACACAGCACAGAGGCTGAAATTGTTTCACAAACCAACAGCACAATGACAAAACATTCCCTTGGAGTAGTGCTAAGCTCTTGTACCAGATTCAGTGCTTTGCTGCCACTGCAGAGGAGATCGTAAGATCAGGCTGATAAGCCAGAACTTGTAGGACAGTGCATTCCTCTTGGCTTTCTAAGAAGAGAACTACTACAAACCATCAGTGATGTAGAATGTGAGCTTATGATGCATTCATTGGCCACATAGCAGGCAACACACGTCTCCTCCCTTTCAGAAGCTGTTAAATAGCATTCCCTCTACCTTCACATCCAAACACCAGGGGCAACCAAGCCGCCAACGCTGCTGGCCTGGCCCTGCGGGGTTCAGCTGCAATAACTGTGTCAACTTTATGTATAGCATAAAATCAAAACTTTCCTGTTTATTGACCGATGAACTAAAATTCATGCTCACAAGACTGACCAGATAGCTTTCTCTTTATTGGGTAAATCAAGATTACTGACCAGTTCAGCCCTGGCCAATTCATACATCAAGCTCTTTGGGTGAAGGTTCAAAAACTTGCCTGGCAACTTGCTCTGATGTCTGAAATAATTGAAAAAGGTTGGATCATTAGCAGATTTTGTAGCAGCTATTCTGTCTCTCTAAATTACAGGAATGTCCTCTTTGCAGTCCCAAACAGGGCAATGCACAAATTCCTCTGGTTCCTTGAAGAAGAAAATGTTGTAAGGCACGTGGATAAGCCAGATTCTGGCTCTCCCCGAGGGAGCTGGCAGCCTTCTAACCAACATTTCATGATAGAACCATGTAATATATGACATATGGATGTAGGAGATTTTCAATTAATCCACAATTTTAAGTGAAGGGACCTCCTTTGCTCCTCAGGGACTAATGCAGAGATCAGAACATAATTATATTTCAGATTTCACCAAATTTTACTATACAGTTATTCACTCCAATAATGTACCAATATGTATATTTTAGGATAAAATAGGTTTGGAAATAAATATTTTACACTGAAATAAAATACTGTATGTGCTTGAATATTGTTTTGTGATAAAATATGAATTTATGTACACTTCTGCATTTGCCTTCAGTATGGCTTTTATTTTGAAATTAGGAGATTAATGTGGAAACATTGATGGAATGGGTTTATGAATAAACATGTGTGAAACTGACTAGAAATGGATTGATCCTGAAGATTTTGACATAGCATACTACACATGATACATGCAGAGCCAGGATGTACCAAAATCCAAGAATGACTGAAGATCACATTGTAAGCATAACACATCCACATTAAGAGGGTTGTTTGGTTATAATGGTTAAAATGTGGCAAAGGATGGATTGGCCCACCCTTTTTTACATATGTACATGATGATAAAACTCCCTTTAATGACTATGAATTAGAACTAAAAGATAGTTCCCCTCCTCCCAATTATTTAACAAGGCAGACAAATATATGGTGTTTGTGGTGTTGGAGTTCAAGCTCAATATCTGGCCCAACATCAAATCACTGAAGGAAAAAGAAGATTAAAAAGGTTTCTCTTGCAATGCTGGTGGCTAAGTGCATGCATAATAGTTTAGGATGCAAAGTAAAACACTTTCAATTTAATTCCTAATAAGTTAATGTTCTTTCAGATACAATGTAGATTCTCTGTGGGTTCTTTATGAAACAGTTCTTTTTGACTATGAGGACCAATGTGGAAGTGCATAATAAATGCTTCTGAAAATGAGGAATCCCTTTAATTTATGAATTTATTTCCCAGATCATGGTTGACAGTGAATCAAACTTTTAAGCAGCCATTTCATCATACATAAAATCAATTACTGACTGCTCTGAACTGAACTGAACTCTGAAAAGCCAGCTGGCTAAAAGGTAGCCAGGATGTCTGGAGAATAAGAAAGAGGAAATTGGGAATAGCTCTGAGAGCACTTGTATTACCACAAAGATGGCCCATAAGCAGTCTGTCTGTGGAGCCGTATAGTTTCCTTTTACAAAAGGAGGAGCTTTCTCTTCTAGTTAGTTCTATGATGTCATTCTGTTTCATCAGTACAAAGCAAACTGCTGGCATTTTCCTGAGACGTATAGTGGTACCTCGAGTTACAAACGCCTCAGGTTACAAACACTTCAGGTTACAAACTCCGCTAACCTGGAAGAGTTACCTCGAGTTGAGAACTTTGCCCCAGGATGAGAATGGAAATCGTGTGCCAGCAGCGCAGCGGCAGCAAGAGGCCCCATTAGCGAAAGCATGCCTCTAGTTAAGAACAGTTTCAGGTTAAGAACGGACCTCTGGAACGAATTAAGTTCATAACTGGAGGTACCACTGTACACCATTGCATGTGGAAAAAGTAGTGTGATAGAGGGACAGTCTTGAGGAGCACTTGTGGTAATTCTGCTGTCTTTTGATGGACATCAGAGATACATAAAATAAAGAGTCCATGGCCAGGGAAAAGCAGGGTTACAGCATAACAGAGTACCTGGCCACAGATAATTACATTGAGGTCATGGCCTAGCCCAATGCAGTTTAAGTCCAGACCGTGTGATGTGTATGTGTGAAATTACATAGGTGAGATAAGCAATTCATGAATGAGCGCGCCAACCAGAGTGATTAAAACTTGAAAGGTTGGGTTTGAAACATATTTGGTGAAGAATGAACTATGGATCCAGATAAAAACAGAGTGATGAGTTTACTGGCCTTTGGTCCAGTAAATTGGTTTTGCATTTTGCAAAGGTTCATTTCCATCAGTATCTATACCTTGGATAGTAGACTGCACCTTCTGGGTCAACCCCTGGCACAGCCTCATCAAATATAGCTCAGGAAAATGATATGAATCTGCTGTTTCCTTGACCGCTTGCAGTCATAAAATAACCTCAGCTATTCCTTGCTGTCTCTCTGGCTCAGTAGTATTACATATGTTACAGCTGAAAGCTGTGCTCTTCACTAGAAGAATTACCATGACTTTGATTCATCTGACATGCTTCAAGGACTGACACTGGTTGCAGAAAGGATTGGACTCATAGAGGAGTCTTACCGAACCTTGTCTTTCGCAACAGCTGACAGCTCATCCTGCAGGCTTTTCTCTCTGTCCTGAAGAACCTGAAAACAAAATAATCAGCAAGTCCCCTTCAAGTTTCTGTTTCTTCTTCCTCCCCCCAGAGATCTCTGATAATCCCCACAGATCAAGACCTAGAGCAATTTTGTATACATTCCATGGGTAGCTGGTGTGCTGCCCTCCAGATGTTATGCATCTGCTTTGTTATGCACTCCTTGCGTTGACATTTTATGGCCTCTCCTCCCCAACAACCAATGGGGAAATATCAAATCCAAATATTCAGAATTACCAAACAAAGCAGTACTTTCCGATGCATGTTTACTCATAAGTAGGGGTGAATGTGTCCATTTCAGTTCTCTCAGTTGCTCATTTTTCAACTATAAAATTCAGTTCTACACAATTTACAGTAATTGTAATTTTTTAAGAAAAGAAAATTCTCATGAAAAATGATCAGCATTTTAGTGTGAATTTCTCCTAACAAACATATTGTTGCATGTAGCTTTCACTAGTGTACACATTATTGCAAGCAATATTCCTGAATATGATGCATTTTTGTATGCTATTTTCAGTAATATATTTTATTCACATTTCCCCTAAATATATGCATTTTTGTAAACATTTGCTGGAGAATTGTATTGCAATATTTGAATAAGTGTGAATTTCAAAAGGTATTTGTATTTTGGTTTGCGTGCTGTTTTGGAAAGTGTGAGTGAGATAGATTCAGCTTTATATACACACTAAATCAATTTTTTCCTGCACTCCTACTCAAAAGTAAGTTCCACCATGCTCAGTTGTGGTTACTCCCTGCTAAGTGTGTTTAGTGCTGCAACCTAAATTAGGCAGCTGTTGCTTTCCTTATTCAGTTCATCAATGGTTAAGCATTTCACACAGATACCTGTATTTTCACTTTGTATTCTTGTATATACTCTTCCAGTTCCCAGATTTGGTGTTTCATCTGGAAAAGAAGAACATGCCTTTTTTCGTTTGCCCCATCCTTGTAATCCTTCTTGCCTTGGGTTTTTAGTCAGCACACTTACAATTTTTGCCTAGTATGATCATACCAATTCCAGGTGTTTCATCAATATTCAAGGGATAGATCAGACACCACTAGGCACGGCTAAGCAGCCTGGTGCTCACCTTGAAAATCAATCTGGCCCTCTTATCTTTTAGTTTGGGATTTGGGATTGAGCATTGAACAAGAAAGAGGGCCTGATTAATGTCAACCTTCCATTGCCTACTACCCATCCACCCCCGCCCCAGGAAGCTCCCAACAGAAAATTGAAAGCAAAATAAAACATCAAACATTGAAAACTTCCCTAAACAGGGCTGCCTTCAGATGTCTTCTAAAAGTCAAATAGTTTTTTATCAGCTGAAGATAGGAGAAGGAAGTGATGGGTATTTCTTCTTTGGGATGATGTGGCTTCAGCCAGTTTAGCGCAGTGGTTAGAGAGTGCTGGACTAGGACCTGAGAGATGAGGGGTCAAATCCCAATCCAGCCATCAAGCTTACTGGGTGTAATTGGGACACTCGCCGTCTCTCAACCTAACCTACACCACAGGATTGTTATCGCTAAAGATAAGTTTAATTTGCATAAAAAGTAATGTTGGTATGCACTGAAGTTTGAAAAACTAATTTAAAATTTGCATTTGCAAAGTAGAGAAGTCTGCATTAGGGAGAAGGTTTCACTCTGGCAAACGTGCCAGAAAAGGTTGGATGTTTTCCGTTCAGCCTTTATGCTAACTGATGACTCATCACTGGAAAGCCAAGCAGAGAGCTCTCACAGCAGGAAGATGGAACATAAGAACTCAGTGCCTTAGTCCATTGATGGAGACAGCAGCCACAGCAGAGGCTAAGCTCTGCAATGATGAAGAAGCAAGTTGCTTTGGATCTCGCTCTGGGACCAGATACAGGAAAGTAAGGACTAAAAAGAAGACGGGATTGCATTGCTTGCTGTTAAACAGCATCGTTTTACTTATTTTATTATTTACTTATTTAATTTGTTTACCGCCCCTCATCCAAAGATCTCAGGGTGGCTCACAACATACAAATACAAAATGAGAGCACAAAATACATAACAAAAACAAAAACACACACCAAATAACTCCTCTCCCATAAACACATTTAAAAGGACATAGAATGTTAATCAGATGATAATCACAGGGTTCAGGTCAGTTCATATGGGGAAAAGCGGTCCTTGAGGTATTATTTTGTATCTTATATTGTTTATCTGTAACCATTTTAAAACTGTTTCCAGTGAAGCTTTGAAACATTTTTCTACTTTGCACATGGGTTCAGATCAGGGATTCCATTTGTAGCAACTGTAACAGTTATGCAGATATTATGGGGAGGGGAAAACCCACCTTGGAGGAGAGGTGGAATGTAGGAAAATAAATAATAAATAAACCCACGGGCAAAATTGTGTATGTTACAGCCTAATTGATTTCAACGGGAGGGTTAGCCCAAAGCAACGGAACCCAGAACTGTTTAACTTTGGCTCAGCTGTCTCCTATGTATATGATAATGAAGTTTACCTTTGTAAAAACTTCATCCTCCTCACCGCAGGTCAGTTTGCATTCCTGGAGCTCTCTCTAATTAAAAATAAATATATAAATTTTCAGTTGGCAACATCTCTGAAGCAAAGACATGTAAGACTTTTATTTTCCACTCTGGCCAAGAGATTCAATCCTCAGTGAAAGGAAATGGTCGCTTTCCAAGAGAACACATCAACGCCGCTTGTACTGGAGACCTTCTCAACAGATTGTGCCTCTCATCGGAAATCCATGTGAGTGCCAATATATAGCAAAGTATACACATTTATATATCTTTACTTTAGATGAAGTCATTTTAAAGTATTCACGTTGAACTAAAAAGCTGATGGACACTAACAGAGCAATCCAAACCCTCTTTATGTCCTACTGAGGTTGGGTAGGGTAGAGGTGTCTCTGTGCCCAGCTCTGCAGGCTAAGCTGGACTTCCACCAGCCGATGATGATGGAGTGACCCAAGAGTCACTCCACTGGTGCAGCACTTCCACCTGCTAGATAGCAGTGAAGTTAATTGAATTCTCATTAGTAGTAACCAGCAAAAGCCCCAAAGTGGGGTGGAGAGGGGCTGTTCAGGTATGGGATCTTTTGGATTCGATGCCAGTCTCGCTACCACCACACAATGGCATTGGACCCAATCTGGGTTTCATCTTTGTGACAGCTCTAGGCTGGCCCAGTGATCTTCTACCCATACACACCACCTTCCAACTTGGCGACCATGAACCTCAGAGGTGCATATGTGGCTGTGGTCGCACAGCCCTGTGGTCGAGGGGAGAGGTTTGGATTGCATCCTAAAAATCTTCCAAATCCCCAATGGCACAAAGTGAAAATGACCTGATGATATTTTGGACTGCCATCTTTTTCAACTGTCATACCCAGGTGCTAGCGTGCAGAGCCAGAAGACTTTAGCATAGTGCAGCAAAAGAACTTCATCTATTTGGCGTTCCACATAAACAGGAAATGCAGAGGTGACCAAAACAGGGATGTGTGAAATCTTCTCGTTTCCCCCGTATATATGCCACCTTCATAAATATTGCTATCTCCTTTTCACAGTTGCCCTTGTATTGTCCCCCACGTATTTTGTATTAATTCCAATGGACACTTCTTTTAACCTTCCTCCTCCAACCTTACTTTATTATTGTGGTTCTATAATCTTACTCACTTTTAGCTTGTTGACATGGCAGCAGAGCTGCAGGTAACTCTGCTGGTTGATCTTCATCGATGCAGTCAATGCTGAGCTCTGGTTTGGGTCACAAAACACACAAATATTCAGATTCAGTCTCACCAATATGCGCTGGCCAGCCTGAACCTTCTTTGCTATTCTGTTACAACCTCATTGTTTAGAAGGCAAATCAGAGATGACCCTGGTGATCCTAATAAAGGACCTCCCTCCCTCCCTTCCTTTCATTAATTAGTGGTATTTTCTCTCAGTTGAGTTAATAGGAGCTTCAAGGTGGGGAGGAAGGAGTTTCAATGGGGCAATGTCATGGGAGGAACAGGTAAAACCCCCTCACATTCATCAACTTCCAGGAAGTCAGGTAAGGGCAGTTGCTCAATGGAGGAGTCTGGTTTGCATGCGGAATGGCCCATGTTCAATCCTTGGCATCACCAGGTAAGGCTGGGAGACGCCTCTGCCTGGAACCCTGGAGAGCTGTGGACATCAGTGAAGGCAATACTAAGTTAGGTTGGCCAAAGATCTGATTTGTTGCAAGGGAGTGTCCTGTGTCCCTAAGTCCCAGTGGGGGGGGGGGCTTGTAAGCAAAACAAAAGCAATGGGAAATCACCATCATGGATCTGCTTTGTCATTTTTGGCTTTGCTTTAGACATTCATTTCAGAACAACTGAGTGGAACAATGTCTATCAAATAACACTAATATTTATTCCAGTAGAAATTAAAGAGTAACTGCAAAGCTATGCAGTGAAAAGGACTGCGGTCTGTCAAAGGCTAGAGCTTCAAGCATAACATTGACTTCTACAACAAGTGAGCATACAGTGGAGATATTCAGATATGCATGCTGTTTCATGCCTACTTTAAAAAGGCTTTGGTGCTGCCAACACAGGCATACAACCAAGAAAGATGAGCACCAGGGAGATAATAGATGTATTACATTATTTTTTAAAAAAGCGATTCTTTTGACATGACTGAACGAACACTAATGCAACAGTGTCAATTTCCATTTCATTTCAGAGTGGAAATCTGAGGCAGTTATTCAGGACCAGCACAACATGAAGACTGGTTCATGCACCCAAACTGGCATGTTGAGAATGTGGGTTGGGTAGACCCATGCAGAGCTGACAATAGCAATTGTGCAAATCAGTAGTGGTCAGTGGGGAGAAGCAGCATCATTTAGCTGACCTCCTGTCACCAATTTCACTGTGCTTACTGGGCTGGTGTGGGGCAGAAAGGCAGTATGGTGTAAACACACCAGCATGACACAAACACATCCAGTGTTCCTTCTGGTGCATTTGCACCATGCCAGCCTCTGCACTGCCTTGCCCATCTCCCTCCCAGGAAGCTCAGCAATGCTAGTGAGAGATCAGGTGAGCATCACTGCCCCCACCCAACCACTACAGGTGAGAATACTTCATCAGAAATCCAGCCCACTACTCAACCTGCGTTTATTTTTTCCATCTCTCGACTTACTTTCAGTGGCTTGATGTTGATGAGGTGATTGTGAATTATACACTTGCAGCACATTCACAAACATGGGGAAAGATAGGACATGGTGCACATATGGAATTCAGAGGAAACCTATCTGATTATTGGTGTACCTTCTCAGAAAGCATGAAGATCCTCAAGTGTAAATTTTCATTATCCTTCTCCTGTGAGGGTAAGAAATTGCCACAGTTAGTTGCAAAGACTGATATATACCCGACTCTTTGGGCTGCAGCTGAAGGGATGCAACAATTCATTACAAATTAAAGAAAACACTCAGGAAAGTATCACACACAACTCAAAGTCCTAACTCTCCAATTCTAAGTTCTAGGACTGCTGAATTTGATTGGGCTGATGCTGATTTCTGTGCTGTGCTAGCCCAGGCAGATGCCATAACAACAGCAAGTGTTGTCTGCTGCAGTCCTCCCTCTTTCCTGTTTTGTAGTGGTGTGGGGAAACACCAGAGGATCCACATGATAAATAGCTGTTCACAGATGGCAATATGGAAAGCCTCCAGGTGATTGCTTTTACAGTCTCCTTATTTGTAGGAAATGAGCCTCCCATTCACAAGGCTCTCCCTCAGATTTGTGTAAGTTATTCTTTGCACAGCAGATGAAACATGATGAATACAAATAGGTCTATACCTGGTGAGGCCTATAGAATGGAATCTATATTAAGTGAAGTATTCATGCTATAGAAATACACAAGCTTTTGGTTTGCCACCTACATGGTAGGACAGCCTTGACCAAGTTGGTGCCTTACAGATGTTTTGGACTACAACACCCCGAAGCCACACAGAAGTATGAGTTGTAGTCTATAACATCTGATGAAAGTCATCAGCTTGGTGAAGGCTGTTGATGGAGGCTATTGACTCCACGGAAAATACCATACTAGTAAATGTCCAAAACTAATACAGTTTTTCTTTTAAAAAATGATTATGGAATAATATCACCAGACAGTGTTCACCTAGCCAACAAATCTTTGGGTTTTGTTGTTTTAATGATGACATGCAGTGTGTGTGTGTGTGTGTGTGTGTGTGCACGCTCTTTAAACTCTGATCAGGAAGATTTCTTTTGCCTACCAGCTTTTTAAGATACTGCTCCTCTAAAGATGCTGTTAAAGTCTCTTCTTCCTGATTTTTCTTTGTGGCTTCAATCTCAGTTTCCAAATAGGTTATTTTCTCTTCAGCTTGCTTTATCCTGTATATGGTTGAGGTAATGATGATGATAGTGTTGATAATAATAATAATAATAATAATAATAATAATAATAATAATAATAATTCAAAGACTTGTATGCCCATTCTGCCCCAAACAAGACCATCAAGGCAGCTAACTATCACAGTAAACCACTGATGAATAAAGAAGTATACAAATTACTTAAATAAGAATAACATTTAAAATAGCAACAATGTTACACCATCCAAAAAAATTTAAGTACAGGGGAAACTAAGAGTTAAGCTTATTCTAGAGAGTGCTTTAATCAATTGCTCATCTGAGCAACGGCAGCAGTTTTGCTTCTCCATGAAAGGCAGAAATGGGGAGGGACATCATTCAACTCTCCCAGGTCAGGGGGCTTTTCCAGAGGAGCGTCCACCACCTGGGTAACCAGGAGAAAACACCACCAACCATCAGAATTGCCCTCATCACATCACTGTAGTTTTATAGCATGCAACTGATCTTTGTGAAGTTTCCAGGGAAAACTTGGTAAGGTTCAAACCTTCTGAAAAATAATTGTTCCCAAGCTGGAATCAGACATTCACTCAACACCCCATTGATTATTGATACATGCCTTTTGAGCTCAGCTTTCATGTTCTTCATAGCTCCTTGTAAATCCAAAATATTTGCCTTGATGTTGTTCCCTTCCGTAATGAGGCAGTTAATTTGTTCTCTCAACCATATATTTGTATGCCTGGACTGGAAGATGGAGGCTCCTTTTGCTGCTATCCAACTGTCCCTAGTTGGGAGATTAAAAAATAATATACAGTACCTTACTTATTGCAAACCTGGGATGTAAGAAGAAAATGTGTTCAAGTTAAAGCAGAAGACCTGCAGAAGGATTTCCATTTGTGCAACAGGGCTTCTCTCTCACCTTGCACACCCTTGAAATTGGCTCAGCATGGGTCAGTGTGTCTGGAGAATCTCCAGATGTTGAATTCTGACCATTAACTTAACACATGCAGATGTATCCCCTTCATGGATCACTGCCTTGCTGTGGCGAAGGGGCTTGAATAACTCAGAGAAGCTATGAGCTATGCCGTGCAGGGCCACCCAAGATGGACAGGTCATAGTGGAGAGGTTTGACCAAATGTGATCCACCTGGAGCAGGAACCGGCAAGCCACTCCAGTATCCCTGCCAAGAAAACTCCATGGACAAAGGCAACAGGCATATAAAAGTTATGACACTGGAAGATGAGCCCCTCAGATCGGAAGGCGTCCAACATGCTACTGAGGAAGAGTGGAGGACAAGTGCAAGTAGATTCAGAGCTGATGAAGCGGCTGGACCAAAGCCGAAAGGACGCTCAGTTGCGGATATGCCTGGAAGCGAAAGGAAAGTCCAATGCTGTAAAGAAAAATGTTGCATAGGAACCTGGAATGTAAGAACCATGAACCTTGGCAAGTTGGATGTGGTCAAAAATGAGATGGCAAGAATAAATATTGACATCCTGGGCATCAGTGAACTAAAATGGACGGGAATGGGCGAATTCAGTTCGGATGACCATCATATCTACTACTGTGGGCAAGAATCCTGTAAAAGAAATGGAGTGGCCCTCATAGACAACAAAAGAGTGGTGAAAGCTGTACTGGGATGCAATCTCAAAAATGATAGAATGATCTCGATACGAATCCAAGGCAGACCTTTTAACATCACAGTAATCCAAGTTTATGCGCCAACCACTGGTGCTGAAGAAACTGGAATTGACCAATTCTATGAAGACTTACAACATCTTATAGAAATGACACCAAAGAAGGATGTTCTTCTCATTATAGGGGATTGGAATGCTAAAGTAGGGAGTCAAGAGATTAAAGGAACAACTGGCAAGTTTGGCCTTGGAGTTCAAAACGAAGCAGGGCAAAGGCTAATAGAGTTCTGCCCAGAGAACAAGTTGGTCATCACAAACACGCTTTTCCAACAACACAAGAGACGACTCTACACATGGACATCACCAGATGGGCAGCATCAAAATCAGATTGACAGTGGCGTAGCGTGGGGGGTGCAGGGGGGGGCCGGCCGCACCGGGCGCAACATCTGGGGTTAGGGCAAATCCACAGGTTAGGGGGCGCAAATCCATGGGTTAGGGGGCACAAATCCACGGGTTAGGGGGCGCAAATTCCTTGCCTTGCCCCGGGTGCTGACAACCCACGCTACGCCACTGCAGATTGATTATATTCTCTGCAGCCAAAGATGGAGAAGCTCAATACAGTCAGCAAAAACAAGACCTGGAGCTGACTGTGGCTCAGATCATCAGCTTCTTATAGCAAAATTCAAGCTTAAACTGAAGTAGGAAAAACCGCTGGGCCGGGTAAGATACAATCTAAGTCAAATCCCTTCTGAATACACAGTGGAAGTGAGGAACAGGTTTAAGGATTTAGATTTGGTGGACAGAGTGCCTGAAGAACTATGGATGGAGGCTCGCAACATTATACAGGAGGTAGCAACTAAAACCATCCCACTGAAAAGGAAATGCAAGAAAGCAAAGTGGCTGTCCAACGAGGCCTTACAAATAACGGGGGAGAGAAGGCAAGCAAAATGCGAGGGAGATAGTGAAAGATACAGGAAATTGAATGCAGATTTCCAAAAAATAGCAAGGAGAGACAAGAAGGCCTTCTTAAACGAGCAATGCAAAGAAATAGAGGAAAACAATAGAATGGGAAAAACCAGAGATCTGTTCAAGAAAATTGGAGATATGAAAGGAACATTTCGTACAAAGATTACCATAATAAAAGACAAAAGTGGAAAGGACCTAACAGAAGCAGAAGACATCAAGAAGAGGTGGCAAGAATACACAGAGGAATTATACCAGAAAGATATGGATGTCTCGTACACCCCAGGTAGTGTGGTTGCTGACCTTGAGCCAGACATCCTGGAGAGTGAAGTCAAATGGCCCTTAGAAAGCACTGCTAATAACAAGGCCAGTGGAAGTGATGATATTCCAGCTGAACTATTTAAAATTTTAAATGATGATGCTGTTAAGGTGCTACACTCAATATGCCAGCAAATTTGGAAAACTCAGCAGTGGCCAGAGGATTGGAGAAGATCAGCCTACATCCCAATCCCAAAGAAGGGCAGTGCCAAAGAATGCTCCAGCTACCGCACAATTGCACTCATTTCACACGCTAGCAAGGTTATGCTTAAAATTCGATATGGCAGGCTTAAGCAGTATGTGGACCAAGAACTCCCAGAAGTGCAAGCTGGAGTTCGAAGGGGCAGAGGAACCAGAGACCAAATTGCAAACATGCGCTGGATTATGGAGAAAGCTAGAGAGTTCCAGAAAGACATCTACTTCTGCTTCATTGACTATGCAAAAGCCTTTGTGTCGACCACAGCAAACTATGGCAAGTTCTTAAAGAAATGGGAGTGCCTAATCACCTCATCTGTCTCCTGAGAAATCTCTATGTGGGACAATAAGCTACAGTTAGAACTGGATATGGAACAACTGATTGGTTCAAAATTGGGAAAGGAGTATGGCAAGGCTGTATATTGTCTCCCTGCTTATTTAACTTATATGCAGAATTCATCATGCGAAAGGCTGGGCTGGATGAATCCCAAGCTGGAATTAAGATTGACGGAAGAAATATCAACAACCTCAGATATGCAGATGACACAACCTTGATGGCAGAAAGTGAGGAGGAATTAAAGAACCTTTTAATGAGGGTGAAAGAGGAGAGTGCAAAATATGGTCTGAAGCTCAACATCAAAAAAATGAAGATCATGGCCACTGGGCCCATCACCTCCTGGCAAATAGAAGGGGAAGAAATGGAGGCAGTGAGAGATTTTACTTTCTTGGGCTCCATGATCACTGCAGATGGTGACAGCAGTCACGAAATTAAAAGATGCCTACTCCTTGGGAGAAAGGCGATGGCAAACCTAGACAGCATCTTAAAAAGCAGAGACATCACCTTGCCAACAAGGTTCCGTATAGTTAAAGCCATGGTTTTCCCAGTAGTGATGTATGGAAGTGAGAGCTGGACCATAAAGAAGGCTGATTGCCGAAGAATTGATGCTTTTGAATTATGGTGCTGGAGGAGACTCTTGAGAGTCCCATGGACTGCAAGAAGATCAAACGCATCCATTCTGAAGGAAATCAGCCCTGAGTGCTCACTGGAAGGACAGATCGTGAAGCTGAGGCTCCAGTACTTTGGCCACCTCATGAGAAGAGAAGACTCCCTGGAGAAGACACTGATGCTGGGAAAGATGGAGGGCACAAGGAGAAGGAGGCGACAGAGGACGAGATGGTTGGACAGTGTTCTCGAAGCTACGAACATGAGTCTGACCAAACTGCAGGAGGCAGTGGAAGACAGAAGTGCCTGGCGTGCTCTGGTCCATGGGGTCACGAAGAGTCGGACACGACTAAACGAATAAACAACAACAAAATGCAGATGTATACAAATACTCTTTTTTGGGTAATGTGTAAGTTGCCACCCTGTTTCATGGTCCCCTCCCCGTTGACCCCTCTTCCCTTAATTTAAGAACACTTACCTGGCATTTTTTGTTCCTATGTTGACAGCTGTAAAGGCTTCAGAAATCTGCTGGCAGAAATGACATTCTTTTAGAATTTTTGTTTAACTTCCAGAAGCAAAATAATTGCACATAATGCCTAGTGCAGACAGTTTGTCTTGTAGTATTGTTGTCCAGAGTTCACTACCTCAGTAGTTGAGCCCCCAAAAGAGCCACAATATGCCTTCCACATTATTTTTGTCATTAACAGAATGATAATGTCAGTTCTAGAGTCTTGTTTTTCTCGTTTCCTTTACAGTGGTACCTCGTGTTACATACTATCCCCCTTACGAATGCTGCTGGTTACGTGCTCTGCTAACCTGGAGGTAGATGCCCCTTGCTGCGACCTTTGCCTCAGGATGCGAACCGAAATCACTCTCCGTCAGCACGTCAGCAGTGGAAGGCACCATTAGAGAAAGCACGCCTCATGTTACAAGCGGTTTCCTGTTACAAACTGACCTCTGGAACGGATTAAGTACGTAACACAAGGTACCACTGTATTTTGTAACCAGTTATGTAAATCTGAAATTCAGTTGTTTTCATTTAGATGCTCCTTTTAATCCGAGGCCCTAAATGGTAGCTTACTTAGCTGAGAGGTCTACATACAGGGACTGCTATAATAGCTTCAATGTAAGCTATAAGGAGGACACATGTCTCATTTCTCAGCCAGGTGAGTTTTCCTGTTACTTTACACAAAAGTGGCACACAGCAGCAGTTGAAGAAGCAGAAACTTCCCTGATCACAACAACTATCACCACCACCCAGTTCTTGGAGGGGTCCTGCTTAGCCTACTTTGAGAAAGGAAAGCAGAATCTCACAATCCACCAACCTTCTGCATGCAAATCAGATGTCCACCACTGAGCTGTGACGCTTCCCCAAAGGGCTCACTTGCAACAATGCCTGTGAGTTACACACAATGCCATGCTCCATCACAACGACAGTTATTTTGGAGCTTCAGAACTATAAGCAGCCATGCAGAGACCCACCCTTGCTCATTAGCATCAACATTACCTTTGCTTCACTCATGTCATTCTCTGCCAAGAAATATATTCAGATATGTCTAATTTGATTTGCCCTGTAGCCTAGCCGAGTCCATGCATAGCCTATCTGTGTTGTGTGCTCTGTGTGTCTGTGTGACTCTCTCTGGGTAGTGTCCCTGCAGCCTCTGATGTCACAAAGGGCTTAGCAGTCTCCTAAGAGAAAGCACTCTGTGCTGGATGCAGACTTACATGCAAGGAATTGTTTGATGAATTAAAATTTATGTTCACATCCTAGCTATGTTGCAGTCTCATTGGACAAATGACTTTTTCTTAGCTCCAGGGTCAATCGATATGCAATGGATTATTTCATAGGATTGCTCTGAGAAGTAACTGATAATATGGATTCACATATTGAATAGTTTCAAAACCATATAAAAGGGGAAACTGTCCAAATACAGCTTCTCCCTTTTTTTTTGGCCGTGCTTTGATGGTCAAAATTGCACAAGGTTAAATGCCGCAGTGTTTACAATTTTTGAAAGTACAGGAGCTCTCTGAGGTCCTGGGCCCAGCTAATTCACAAGGTAAAAATACATTTCCTAGGGTCCCATTGTGACTTTTTAAACCACTAGATGGCAACACAGTTCCACTTCAGTTTGTATAAATACATTCTTAATTTTGCATAAAAGAGCTTCATTTTTTCTCTTTGCTCCAATACAGCGGAATTTCCAGAAAATTATTTTTTCCCCTCGGGTTCATTGTTGCATTGGAAACATTCTGGATGTCTGGCCTCTAGAATTTCTGGAGAAACCGAGGTGGGGTAGAGAGGGAAATCGGCAATAGCTAAGAAAGTGAATGAGAAAATCTGCAGTGTATTTTAGGAATAAATAATGTAACAGTTATTTTGAACACAGTATAGCCCAGTTCAGATGAGGCTTGTACCACTTCAGCTTGAAGATGGGGGCTCATTTAATTGAACTGAGGCTGTGCTGATTGTCTGACCAAGATGAACTTTAGAGTTTGGAGAGCGAAGGTGACTATTAAAGTGGTGTGGTGGAACATTTGAGTAAGGGTATTGCCTAATATTTGTAGCAGGTGTGGGAAACAGTGTGTCCTACATACTTATAGCTCTTGGCCTAATTTCTTGTGGATGGGAAGGATGGGGAAAATGGGAATAGGAGAGAGAGAGAGAGAGAGAGAGAGAGAGAGAGAGAGAGAGAGAGAGAGAGATGCACTGCTCACTTTTGACTGTGGTCCCAGTGCATCATTCATATGGAGCCTCAGAGAAATTAGCCTGAGGGAATATGGACCTCACCAGAAAAAGGGCTGCTTACCTCTGACTTCCCAGTTTACAACATATCCAAGGGTTGGGTTTTTCTTCTCCCCTTTTCTTAAAAAACCCCATTGTGTGTGCTGTCTCAAGTAATGATAAAGTGCACCTGGTAGCCTCACTACCACTGAGACATGCTTTGGAAATTTGGCCCAGAAATGTCCCTGGGAAAGATGCTACCAAGACATTTTCAGTTCCCATTTTCAAATAATGCGTCTGCAGTAGGGGGACTGCTAAGAGGATGGGGGGGGGGAATCAATCCTCAGCCAGCTTGTAAACTATAGCTATTAGTTACCACCCCATCCGACAGTCTCCAGGATTCTCCTCCCATCCTTCTTAGTGGTGGTTGGAGAGGTCTGGCAAAGGTGGAGGTGGACTTTGGCCCAGCCCTACACTGAATGCTCCTTAATACAAAATAGTCCCTCTGCATTGGGAAGCAAATATCAGGGAGAAAGGACAGGGAGATCAGGTCACATGGGGTTTCTGATCACAGAGGAGTCTTGTCAACCTGTCAAAGTGAACCTGCTTGCATGCCCCTCTCAGACCCTGCTGGTCAATGTGGCACGGTCTGTTGCTAATTCTTCGTGGTGCTTTAGCAGAAATGCTCAGAGTTCCAGGTTCTTCAGTGCAGTATATTTATTGTGAGCTATATATACAAATATCTGCAGGCTATAATACACGAGCAGTTCATACAGTCAAACAGAGTACCTGGCTGCACCTTAAGGCAAATAGGAAGACCTCTAACTCTCTCTCTCTCTCTGCCCACACTCCTCTACACACCACCATCCTTACTGCTGGAGAGGTTTCCCTTTTAAACCGATGACAGCCAATCAACTGACAGCACATTACTGCTGAGTCATTCTGACCCAGCACTTCCAGAGAAAGTATTGCAGGCTGATTGCACCAGCCAGTTGCATCAGCTAGCAAACTCAAGCCTGCAGACTTACTATCTCACACAGCATTCTGTGAATCCCAACACAGTCATGGATAGAGGAGTTTGCAGTGGTACACATGACCCTGCACCTTCCAACATGGTTATGCTTCCATGATGGCTAGAGATGGTTTGTAGCTTCAGGGTTATGATGGCAACAAATTATGATGGGGTGATGGATGTGCACCCTGGTCTGAGCTCCTTTTACGTTTTGAAAGATTCTTTGTTCTAAAGGCACTTGGTGCAGCAATATTGCTGAAGTCAAGCAGATCTAGGTCTGGTCATGGATGGATAGCAGAACTCCCCAGAGAAAAGCTAAATGTAATAAATAAATAAATTCCAAACTAAGCTGACATTAATTGCATGAGTGCACTTAACTTGCATGGTTGAGTTATTTAAATAATAGCCATGTGGGAATCTGAATAGCCTAAAGATTGTGAAAAGGGTGGGTGAGGAGAGGGAGTTCAACCCTTTCTCTCCATGCCAATAAAGCACCTCTCCAAAGCTACTGTTTGCACTTCAAGGGACATGGGAGCTTTCACTGAAGTACAAATGGCAGCTTCAGAGAGGCAGTTTTTGTCAGGACTGTTGCAGGGAGAGAAAGGGTTAAACTTCCTGACCAACCCACACACAGACCTGAAGCTGCTCAGATTGCTCAGACCTGAGGCTGCTATTTACAGATCAAAAAGCAGGCATGTAAATTGTATGAATGCCACTAAAACTATGTCTAGCTTAGCCTTCACACTACAGTATTCTAGAGCACCTGCCTGATTCTGGTATTTTGCACGAGACACCCAAAGAGAGCCCTTTCCACTTGCCTTTCCTTCTTCAGATCTCCAAATGTTTGATTCCTCATGCAGATAGCACATTGTATCATGGCAATAGCAAGGGGCAGTCCTCAGTGCAGAAGTACTGGAAGCTGTTGTAGCACACAAGGGGTGGTACTTAGGTTGGACCCTAGCACAGAAGAGCCCAAAATACTAAAAACTAAGAGCTGTTCTCCTGCATCAACAGTACCAACCTGAAGCAGGTTGAAGCATTTGGCTATGATGCCCAGTCCTTGCTGCAGGAAGGGCAGGCATTGTTAATTCACACTGCGTTCTTTAGCTGACAGCATGTGAAGCTTCATTCCAGGTGTATAACATACAGAGGAAAGCACACTTTATTAACTCCTCCTTGCTGGCTTATTAAACCTGGCTAATGGTTGTTTCATACCAAAGGAGCAGTACAAAATTGCTGGAGCACGCCTATGAATTATGGGCCGTGTCTGCAGAGAGAAAGTACTAAGTCCAACTAGTTTGGGCAGGAGTTTAACCGATGCTTTCAAATCGAGAGCACTGTAGATTATCAACAGAAGGTGTTTCTCTGCCAGTGGCAGTCGAGTTGGGAGGCGCATTTACTCTTGGCTCAGATAAATGCATGCACAGGCTGCTACTGAGATACAGCTGTACAGCTGAGGACGTGCAGGATAGGTGCACAGCATTGCAGCCTTGTCACGAACACAGAGCACCACACCTTCTCCCCCTCCTATGGAGATAACCAATTTTCTTGAGTTGTCTGACTGTTTTATTTCGTATCGGAAATAATCACAGATGCAGCAGGAGGAAGGCTAATTTGTAAAATGGGAGGAATCATTGGATTATAATTTGATATCTGTAGCTAATGTTGGTAGGGAGGCTGGACATGATGTCAATTATTCATCGAGTGAAGAAGGGCTTGCTTTTGTCTGTCCTGAACATACCGCCAATCAATCAACAGATTACTAGGCAAAATCTGGCTTAGGTCCATGTTTGCAAATGATCGCTACATCATCGCTTAAACATACTGTCCAGCTAATAATTAAAAGAGGCCGAAGACCCAAAGGTTCCTAGTATTCCAGGAATGAGATTTGGGTTACGTAATTAAATCAGCATTTGAAAGAGGGTTAAAAGACTGGAGATGGCTTGAGGGAAGTCAGAGGTGACATTAGTAGGAAGTGGAGAGGCTGGTTTTTCTGAGATCCAACGCATATTCATCATTGGAACAGTTTCTGAGTGTCTTTTGATCCAGACACTATAGGACAGGGATGTCCAACAGGTCGATCACGATCTACTGGTCGATCCCCAGGAGGTTTTGATAGATTGCAGTCGATCGCTGGCTTCTCCATCTGGCCCTGCCCCCTCGCCCCACTCTCTAGATGGGTAGAACAAAAGACGGAGCTCTCGTGTGAGGCTGACTGTTTCAGAAAAATGGGGTAGATCACTGCCAGTTTTTAATTGTGTGAGTAGATCTAAGTCTCTTGGAAGTTGGCCGTCCCTGCTATAGGGGATAGCTACAGTGGCCAAAAGTACTTTCTGCTCCATTTGTTGCACAAGCTCCACCCCTTCTTGGACGGAGGATCTTGCAACACTAATCTGTGCTTTCAAAGCCCTTCGGCTATCTCCTGTTTGTATGTACAGAGCCTAGGCGTGCACAAGTTGTGGTATGCACACAGGCTCTGATCTCAGGTTCAGGTGAAAGCATCAGCGGCGTAGCGTGGGTTATCAGCACCCGGGGCAAGGCAAGTAATTTGCGCCCCCTAACCCGGGGCAAGGCAATTAATTTGCGCCCCCTAACCCGGGGCAAGGCAAGTACAGTAATTTACTCTCCCAAGCAGCAGCAGCGAGGCTTCTCTTTCCCCCGCGCTCTCCTGGAGCTGCCTCTTTTCTTTCCTTTTTTCCCTTTCTCCAAGGCTTTTCGCTTTCTCTCCTTAATTGATTCCTCCTCCACACCGCAGCGTTTCCTGGCTGCTTCCCCCCCCTTCCCCTCTCTCTCCTCCTCGCTCTGCTTGCCTTGCCCTGCCCTGCCTGAGGGCGCCCTGAGGAGACTCCGCTCTCCTTTTTGACCAGGC